TTTCGAATATATTCATTATTCTGCTTTCCCACGATATTAAAATGGCATTATATATGAATTTAATGCCAACTTGAATGAGTAAAAAGTGCTATATTCAGTCTGTTATTGACAGATATGCCTACCTAAACACAAGGAAACGTTTTCAAAGGTAAAATTTCGAAATCGTTGAAATTACCTCCTTATTAAGTTTCGACTGTGTAAATTATCCTGACATTATAATCAAAAAGAGATGATATTAGACCAAAACCCATAATCATGGGTAGAGTGAACCGCTGCCAGTGTCTCTCTTTTCCAAACAAAAGAAAATGATATTAATTTGAGGAACCGTCCGCAAATGCAAATTGATACCGAGAATGAAATCGGTCGCTCGCTTTTCCCATTCATTCACGGCTTACGTATTGTAATAAAGCTTATTCAATGGGAAAAGCGAGCGACCGATTTCATTCTCGGTATCAATTTGCATTTGCGGACGGTTCCTCAAATTAATATCATTTTCTTTTGTTTGGAAAAGAGAGACACTGGCAGCGGTTCACTCTACCCATGATTATGGGTTTTGGTCTAATATGTATATATAAAATTTGACCAAAACCCATAATCATGGGTAGAGTGAACCGCTGCCAGTGTCTCTTTTCCAAACAAAAGAAAATGATATTAATTTGAGGAACCGTCCGCAAATGCAAATTGATACCGAGAATGAAATCGGTCGCTCGCTTTTCCCATTCAATAAGCTTTATTACAATACGTAAGCCGTGAATGAATGGGAAAAGCGAGCGACCGATTTCATTCTCGGTATCAATTTGCATTTGCGGACGGTTCCTCAAATTAATATCATTTTCTTTTGTTTGGAAAAGAGAGACACTGGCAGCGGTTCACTCTACCCATGATTATGGGTTTTGGTCAAATATCATCTCTTTTTGATTATAATGTCAGGATAATTTACACAGTCGAAACTTCATTAATAATAATAAGGAGGTATAATTTCAACGATTTCGAAATTTTACCTTTGAAAACGTTTCCTTGTGTTTAGGTAGGCATATCTGTCAATAACAGACTGAATATGGCACTTTTTACTCATTCAAGTTGGCATTAAATTCATATATATAATTGATAATGCCATTTAAATATCGTGGGAAAGCAGAATATATTCGAAATCACGAATGAGCAATATTCTCACCTTTCGCACGTGCAAACTTTGAGCGGACGTTGCGTGCGCATAAAATATTGAATCACCGTTAATTTTTGTATAGTGATATTTAATATATAGTTTGATAAGCATGAAAAGTTTCAGAAGATTTCAAAAAGAACTTGGATCACAACGGGACTCCAAAGTTGGTAAAAATCGTGAAAATAACAATTTTCAGTGATTTTAGCTATTTTAAATCAATTTGGGCGTGTCCCCACGTGTGCAACTTTTCGATTTTCAACTTTAAAACTAGCCTATAACACAATTTAGACCTTTAGGAAGCAAAATTGAGCTCCACAACCCAAGGGATGGCCCAACACCGGAGAATACTAATTCACAACTTTTGTGTTTTTATAAAATTATTCTTCAAAAAGCACTAACTTCAATAGCGAATATCTTTATGAAGGAGCAAGGTAGGAAACTTTTCCGGTAGATTTTCAGAATGCTTGAACAATTATCTAAGGTGAAAATGTCCTCAGATTTTGAATAAAATTACTCCTTAATGGTGTTAAATCGATTTGAAAAGTTGTTATTTTGTAAAAAATCAGGTTTTCGAAACACTTAACTTGATGACGTCATCAAGTGATGATGATGACGTTAAATTATTTTTCAATATAATGTAAACTAAAGTATAAACTATTATCTTTAAAACCTGTGGTTCGAAATGACTGTATCTTTTATACTTTTGAATCTACGGACACTTAAATGTAGGCTACAATTGACTGCCAAAAGCGTCTATACATATTATATACTATACTTCACGACAATCTGTTGTAAAACAGGGGTTCCAGAAAACCCACTTCCCGATACTCCTGAAACATGAAATTTTTTTTACAGTCGATTTGGACAAGGTCTAGACGCCCTGCAAAGTTTCATATTTCTAACTCAATTTTAACATGGTTTTTAAGACACCTGAATATGGCGATTTTGGGGTTTTTACCTAATTTCGTATAAAATGCCGGCGCATATTTTGCGCAAATTTCTTAAAAACCTCCACATAACTATTTCTTATTCCTGTCATCTTTAACATTGAATTAGAATGTTTTGAACTTAAATATGCCTGCTGAACTACTTTCGATGAGTCTTAATGCCTGGAAAACAATTAAGGGGATATACTAGTATAGGGGGTAAATAGTATTGTGAATATAAGGGCGACGGTAATGCTTGCCAGCATTGTGATATAATAATATAAATAAATATAACATGATAATATCTTCACACTTTGAGAGCCGCGCGTGACAACAGATAATATTAATGACCGAACATCGTGAGGTCATTTGCGAGAGTAATAATGATATATGTTATTAATATTATGCCATATACCTTTGAAACTTGCCGCCAGCCAGTCTGCATGAGACATGCTCTGCTAATTTGCAGAGCAACGATCTGGAAGGGTTGACATCGTCAATCAAAAATTAAGGCTAACGATTCATTTTAAATTTTGTTTTATAATGACAGCTGCCAAGCATGAAATAAAAGTTTAAACGTGTTAAATCGATTCATCAGATCGAACTCTTTCAGAATCTTTAAACTTAAAGAGAGACATTTTTTCGCTAATTGAGGGGAAAATGAGGCTAACAAGTCATTTTTAATTTTTGAATTTTATTTGAATAATAACGTCCACCAAAGTATCCTCTGACCTAAAATACATTAGATGGACGCTCTATCTACCTTACGAGACATATTTATATGGTACGAAATTTGGGGATTTTTGGAAAAAATCCCCATATTTTCGTACTACCAAAATTGTGGCCGCCATTTCAAAATCCCACACATTAATTTTTATGTAATTGGCTTAAATAGGGCTAATTTGAGGTGAATTTGTCAAATAAGTTGTTTTACGTGTTTTGTGAGACAAGGATACCACGCCGATCGCCGATACCCTCTGGAGGGTTAGAAGTCTAACTTAGTCTCACATTCAAGAGTAGCTGGGAGACTTAATTGACAAGCTCAAACTCCTGTTGAGAGAGGCATACACCTGGGACTACACCGGTGAGCAGACTCAAGGTGAAAGAGACGACGATGAAGACGATTTAAACGAAGAGAATGATTTTTAATTAATTTAGTTTTTCACGATTTTTAAAAATTCCATCAAAAACTGATTTTGATTTCTCTGAAATAATTTAGCGTGAAAATGCGACAATTTAATTTGGGGTACGAAATTTGGGGATTTCTGAAAAAAATCCCCATATTTTCGTTCCCCCATAATTCCGATCCCCAGAATTATGATCCACATAAATATGTCTTGTAAGGTAGTTGAAGTTCGAAGGCCGACCCCTTTTTTCCTTTTAAAGGAGGGTAAAGTAAGGCTAATAATTTATAATTTTTGAATTATGTTTGAATAATAACGTCCTTTATATTAAACTATCCTTTGACCTGGTATACATATATGGATACTTAGGTCGATGGTAGACTCCACCTACCCTTTCCACTTTCTGTCTTTTGATGGAGGATCAAATAAGGCTAACTATCAAGGTTTTGTTCATTACTTGTTCTACTGCTTCTTCGGACTAGCGGCTAGCCCTTCAAATTGTTTGAAAGCCTCATTTCACCCTCTCAAAAGATGGTTAGCATCATTTTCACCTCGAATATTGGAAGCTTAGATATCGATTTTAATTGATATCTAAGCTTTAAATATACTTAAAAGTATAATCAAGGAATTTCATGTGCAACACGGATATCAAGTAACTTGTGAGTTGTGACAGTACAATAGTCAATATCTAGGGACTGAAAATCAACAGTGTCTGTTAGCCCAAATTTCGCCTCCCGTGGAAAGAGGGTAGCTTCAATCCAACCTCACATAAATTATGATAAAGTCTCAATAACCTGCAGGCTATAATAACAAGTTTATTAGTGAGTCTTTAACCTGTTTCCGTACATTAAAGTTAAAATGCGGTCGAAACTCGAATTCTTTATTAGCCTCATTTTGGCCTCCTACAAGTACAAGTAGACTCGGTGGTTTCTGAAATGTTGAACTCGAAGAGGATGAATCAATCTTTATTGTTGACACATTATATAGTCACAATACCGAACCTGCTCGAAAATATACACGAAAGTATACTTGTTAGCCTCATTTCACCCTCTCAAAAGGTGGTTAGCCTCATTTTCACCTCGAACATTTAAAGCTTAGATTCTCGATTAGATCAAGTATCGAGATCTAAGGGACGTATATCATGGACGTAACATGAGAAAGTTATTTTTTTAAGTGATGAGGTTTATAATTCGTTAGCCTCATTTGTCCCTCGCAGTTCAATCACTCCTACTGTACTGAGTCTAGTAGTGAGTATCAGTAAGTTAGGAGGTCATCGAACATCGTATTTTAAAGGCAAAGCTGTATCAATTTTCTATGCGCATACCAAAAATCAAATGCGTAACTAAAACAGAAATGAAATTACAGAAGTTTTAAATTTGTTGTCAAAAAACGAACTTTTAGGGGTGTTTCTAATGAACAGGGTCATTAAAGATGAGGTTCATGTGCTTAGAACCTGCCCCCTCTACCAAGACAACAGGGACCGCCTTAGCCCTGAAGCTAAAACCAACCTCTTCGAGGGAATGGATGTCATATTCACTCAACCAAAGCTTTTAAAAGAGATTGCTAAATTTTTAGTTGATACTAGATCTGGGTGCACTTCGTTTCCCGAGAGACTTAGCTTAAATTATAGTATATGTTTCTTCACGGTTTTTGTATCTTATTTCTATGATATGATTTAATTCTTGTATTGTCAAGCCAGGAGTGTCAGGGCTTCTCTTGACTAATAAACGTTTAATCCGTTTAATCGATTTTCTGTCAACTTCAGCAGGAATTAAATGAAAAATGAAACAGCAAGATTAAAATAAACTTTAACTATAAATCATTTGCCTATAACAGTACATTATATTAACACAACTTGTATGGTTATCACTTATCGTCAACATTAAAATCATCATATTCTGTAGCCGCGACAAAGAAAATCACCAACAAGTAGCTCTGCAGCAAGATCTGTAAATTCTATAGTTTCTATGGAAATTCTAAAGATTGAACAAGATTATTTACATATACCTAAAATCAGATGGCGTCGAGGTATACTATATCACGACAGCACTATATTACGACAAGGTTCTCGTGTAAGGGTTACGGTTTCAGTCAGAGAGCTATTGTAATATAATGCGGGATCTTTCTTTTAACATCGTTATCGCTAATCAGTGCTATTGACAGTTGACACCGTATCAACATGGATAATTTTCTCACCAGATATTTCAAATGATCTGATATTACCTAAAGTCTCGGGGATCCATTTCATATCGACCATTAATTCTGATAAAACTATGACTCGGAGAGTTTAATTTTTCTCTCCTGTTCACTTGACAAAGTCTGGAAAAGTTGTATAATGTCTTTCAGGCCGGTCTGGTGTTGCCTATAATCAGCTAGAGCATTGTCTCTTTGAACTATCAACTGCCGAAGAAAGGCTTCTTCTTTCGCAACTTGCTCTCCGAGCTGAGATTGAGTGATTGGAGGTCAGAATGACACATTGAAATTCAAACCTTGCTTATTCAAAACAATAATTACATTCTTGAAATTTGAGGGGGTTTTGGCATATGGAATTGATGTTATATATAACATCAATCAATATAGATCTTATTATCAAAAAATTTTAAAAATCATGTACTTTATCGTCAACTATACAGTACATTCTTGATATCATGAATGATAGAGAAACCTGAACCCATGAAACCCATTTAACAATCTAATAGCTAGATACCTCAAGCTGGTGGGAGTCAACAGCTCTCAGTTGGTCCTGGGCATGTTTCCTGGCGGCAGTGTTAGCTGCTTCCACCAGTGCCTTCTTGCTGTTGCAGATCTGCTCCTGTTTCCTGGTCTCACTTTCCAACTTCCGCATATTCCTATAGAGGGTTCGTTCTTTACCTCCGGCCTTCGCTACGTCCTCCTGATATGTGAAGTAATTGTAACAGATTTGGTATTTCTTTGGTGGAAGGGATGAGTGGGAAATACGAGGGTTAATGTGGCTAATATTTTGAGCACCACTCTGATGGCTGGGTTTTTCTAGAATGGGAAACATATAATACCAATAAATATATCATATCTCTATCTATACTAATAGTCCCAATAAATGTGTGGGTGGGTGGGTGTGTAATTTCCTAACGGTTTAATCAAGAAAATGGTAAGAGTTATGGGACTGGTTTTTTCGGTATAGTTTCGAAAAAACTCTGAAGAAGCCGATGTGCAAATTAAAAAAAAATCGGCTGGTGGTAAGTGGTTTAATTGATGGTTTTGTACTGCAAATGTGATATTGAAGTGACTCACTTTTTCAGACTTTTTGTCCATCTCTCACACTCTCTCTATTTCCGCAAGATTTCCTATTCAGTATTACTATTGGATACGCCCAGAATTAAATTTACTCTAATGCGGCCGGTTTCGGCGAGTGTATATTTTTGCACCGTTTTAACTTTGCCACCGTTTACACTTTTGCAATTCAACTGCGATAGTAAAGTCCCGGCCGTAGGCACGGGTTTCACTAGTAACTTACATAATCTTGAATTATAAGTACTCTCATTAACATCTGATGAGGCATGATAAGTCAGTCAGTCATGTTTAATGAGACAATTAACTAATTAGGTCCAATTAGAAATATCCAATGACCATACTAACAAGCTAACAGTCATGAGACAAAAATGGACCAATGTTAAGTATGGATGTATGATATTAAAGAAGGTAAATCATTACATGTTACATGATACTATAGTGTTTACTAAGCATGTTATACTAGAGTGTAATAAGTGCAATCGCTCAATTGTTCAACTTTGTACATGTTTGTACTCTTCTTGACTCACAAATAGGATTTGCCGTTCCATTTCGTTTAGTCTCTGCTCGTTTTCCTTGGCTAGTTGCCGTAACTTTGGCTCCCATTTGTTCGCTTTCGTTTGTCGCTGTGCCAGGATAGTCTTCTGTTTTGATATGTGATCCTGTAGCAAATAGCAAAGTTTTTAAATGTGTGAACTGGAATTCTTAGTTCAAGACAGTTTTTAAATGGATTATACGGTGGTACAATTAATGTTGATGTAAGAGTACTGCACTGGTAGGTGAAACTTGTTCAGTTTTGGCAGATAATAATAATAATGTTATGTGAATAATCATTACAGAGTAATAACGCTTATATCTCCCAGTCTCCCTCCCAAATTTAAACCTGGACATTCTGCTCGTTCTCCTGTATTGTACCCATATTATCGATATGAATCTTGTTCTCACTGAGTCTCCTCTGTTCCTCGCCCACTTTACCCAGCAAACAGTTTACATCCTGCAGCTTCCTCCCGTACTCTCTTTGCTTCAGTTTTACATCGTGGTCCGTGTTGCGGAGCTTTTTACCCAAACTCCTGTTTGGAAAAGTTAATTTCATTGGCTTGTTATGAATGTTTGAATTGGTTGTAGTAAGATAAGAATCTGTGGATTCGATTGACGAAAAAATACTAAGAATTTTGGAAATTGTCGATGATATGATAAAAAACTAGAGAGTTAGTGAATATTTGCTGTAAAGTGCAACTGTAACCAAGAATAATCGCGACTTTAAAACCTTGTTTTGTCAAGGAACTTTTTCTCGTGAGTCTGATGCTGATATTTGAGATGCTGGTCGACCACCTCAGAGTCTCTCCATTGAGAGATACGTTCGAGCGCTTCCTCCCTTTTGTGCTTTTCTTCTTCCTGAGGAAATATCTGATATATCGGGTTCTTTACATATAGTTCAGTTTAGCCTCCGAGCATAATAACATGATTTAAGTGTACAGTGATCCTTCAAATGAAAAAGACTTCTAAGTTCGAACCTTAATCAATTTATCTTTCTTCGCTTGTTCGAGTCTAAGTTGAGCTCCGACTTCCTTCAGCTCATTCCCTAGTTCGTGGTGCCTTCTGGCCTGAAAACAGCTAACTAAAAATCTGTTAGAGAATTCAGACAGTATGTTAGAAAAGTAGCCATTTTATTCTAACTCCTTTAATTGCAGATTAAAAATTTAATATCGGGAGTAGCATAAGTTTATAAGGGTGTTCATGAAATGTTGACGTACGTTTTTAAATATCTTTAAATAAATTTACAAAGGAGTTATAAACCATAAAGTAGCAAACAGAAGTTAACCTTCTCACGCAATTGTTTCTCAAACTGGAGGGCTAGATCGTCTGCCTCGACCACTATCTGATCCATTGTGTTTAGAATAGACTGGTATCTTTGTTCTGTAGTCGTTCTAAGGAGTAAATATTTCATTCCAATAAAACTGTAGTCACTGTTCGTTAATAAACATGATTTTAAGTTTTTCGGGTTGAACCTTCTGAGAAATAGTCGTTAGTAAACATTTTTCGAACCAGTTAAGCGGTCCACACAACATCAGATAATAAGATGGTTAAAATCCTGGACTTGTAATCAGAGTTTGGTTAACTGGCCGTAAGTGAAATCCGACGCTGGTTAAAGTGTTATTTCATCACAACCCACTAACAAATTATGTGAGAATTAAGGTCGGTTTAACGAACACATCTAAATGTGGCGTGAGAACAAGGTGTGCTAGTAATTGGCGGACTGATTCAGTTAAATCAATTTAGGGACTAAATTTCATTCTTCTTTTCTTCTTTTCTTGGTCACAGCGTATCTTATCTCACTAATCGGGCAATCTTCAAAGTTGATCGTCGTTTTCACAGACACGAGGAGGAGTCATTGAACAGGTTTTCAGATGGTTACAGTAGTTGCAATACTACATACCATTTAATCACATTTTAATAGCACCCAGTTTTTACTTTTTAGTAATGCGCCTTCATTGTTCACACTTTCATTCTAAAAGCGTTATACATTAGTGAATGAAGTGTGGAATCCCGTAAGTATGATTAATATAATGGAGCTAGGCTATCTTTACAAAATTATTTTGGTTGCCAAGGCGATTTCATTAGTAACCTAAGAAATGTAATTCGATATCACGCATAATTGAATTTAGGTCTTTAAACCACGTGAATAAATGTACAGTTTATGTCATAGTGACTGCTGAAATTGTGCCCTTTTAACAGTAAAATCTACGCGCGCTTTACAAAACGCATTATTATTTTGGGGACCAAAGACAGGGCCGCAACCACAGGAGGTTTCTGCGAGATTATTTATTAGTAAACCACGATAACTTGATCATAATATCAAAATACTGTATTATAGTAATCGAATCTAGATGCTTCCAAACACTGTGTACGGATATTATCTAGATATTGGCCGGATACTCAAATTACGCCAGGGCATCGTGGCGAGCTTACACATTGTCACACCATTTAGAGGCGATGTTGACCAGGTCACAGGCACAGTAAAATTACTACATCTCCTTCCTGAACTACACTGGTGATGTAATGTATATTGACTTTGTCTGTTTATAGTGTGCTGTGTGAGCTATTTGCTTTGTTTTGTAATTTACGATGAACTCTGCTAATTTCATAGTGTCGCTTTGTCAGCAATCTTTGAGCAATTTTCTGAGATTCGTTATTATTTGCCCTTTATTATTTGATTAAGAGTTATTCTTGAAAATTGTGAGGAATTTTTTTGATAAACTGTTTTTCAAATCAATACTTAACGTTTCAGTTGATAAATATGACAACTAAACAGCAAGAAATATCAGAACCAAATGAGACTGATAAGATCGTTATACGAGAAATAAAGCCAATTCTACCTCGGGAGATATGGGAGATAATATTCTACCTGATTCCAATCAGAGATAAGTTGACATGCAGCAAGCTTATTATAGAATTCAGAGACTTTTATCAAGAATTATTCACAAACTATGAGAAGTATGTTGACAGCTTCAGAGACTTTAAAGTTGAAAAAGCGTCGCTTAATGGACTGAACTTATACCAGATGCATCCTTATGGTTTCTCCCATGATCTGAGAATTCCCAGCGATTCTGCATCGTCAAGTATTTCATTTTCTATCTATCTTGAAAATAGTTGGGTACGATGGCTGGACGATACGTTGTCCTCATTCAAATACATAACATACGAAGACGATGGAACGAACAATAAATACCTTACATATTTGAAGGTAAACGCAATATCTTGGTTACGATTCAGAGTGCAAAACATTATACTACCGACGGGGCGGTACAATCTGTATTACAAAATAAAAGGGCCATGTCACAACATCAGGAACTTATACATGGTATCAGTTAAACACAGTGCCACAAGAGAAGATAATGTTGGGTACATTGATCTCAGGACCCTACAGAATCTCAGTTCTGATTGGGAGTGGGTCCCAGTATACAGGGACAACACCTTCAATACACTCATGGAGGTGGGGTATAAGTTTGAGGAGGAGGATGAGCTTTCTGTTGAGTTGTTCAGTTTGAACGAGTTTTGGACCAGGGATTTGTCATTTCATATGATCAGGTTTGTTGCTGTGGAGGATGTTCATGAGTTGTGAGATGTTGTTCTTGGTTACAAGTCTTGAATTGAAGAATATGGGTAATGAGTAGTAATATATGGTACTTGGGAGTGATAACACCTGTTTTAAGACACGCTATCTCGTGCTAACTAACTGAATCGTGTTACACCACGATCACAACATAGGAATTAGTAAGAATTTCTTCGGTGCGGAATGTTGTTTTTTAATTTTTTGAGGATAACAATTTTCGCAGCTATGAGATAAGACGTTTTAACAGAACTGCTTGAAATTTTTAATGTTTCAAGCTTTATTTACCTGCACCTGCAACCCTAGGTTTTGTCAATTTGTTTCCCTAAATTCATCATTTACAAGATAAAGTAACACTATGATATAATTGATTTAAATGTTAAAACTACTTACAGTGACATTTTGTATTTCCTGCCATCCTCTCTAGCCAACTGTAGACGTTTTCTATTGCTTTCTATCCTGAACATTTTGATAATTTACATTCTCACATTTTAAACGATCATTTTATATCAGACTTTTTTTGTTTTGGGACCACTAATGCGCTAACGAAAAGAAAGATTTGAAGAAATGATCGCTTGTTTTATTTTGTAAAATATTTAACATCACGAAACTTAAAACTAGTGGATCCAAATTCCAATGATGAGTCAGCAAAAAAGCAAAAAAATAAACTAATAACTGACCTGTTGATAGTGTTTCGCTTGCTGAGCTGATAAGAGCCAGAATGTAGTTTTGAAAGAAAGTTAATCTTCTGCTGCAGTTCGTTAAAATGTTCCTTTGACTCCTCTGTTTTCGCTGAATCATAATCAATGAAACAAGCACTTCAAATTAAATACTTTACATCCTAAAAAAACCTCTCCATTTTAAAGTTTACACTGGAGCAAAACACAAAAATACAAATAAAACCAAACCTCGATTGAATACAGTGGTTGAGTGGTGTAACTCCCGGACTTCTTTCAGCAGGGTCCCTCTCTCCCTGACTAACTGCCTTTCTTTGGTCTTTGCTGCCCATTGTCCGTCCTTGCCAGGGAGGTTATTGTATAATGGTCGGGCAACTAGTTCTTGTAGCGACGATATATTATAAAATAGATAGTTATAAACTAATCTGATGAAAAAGTTTAACAGTGACGGAGGCAACGGACAGTGATGTACATTATATTATTCTGAACTGACTCCAAATTGACCTACCTCAACTTGAGATGTGAGAGCCTTGAGGTGACCTGAAGGTGAAATCGAACCGGAACTTGTAGTAGAATCATTTGATTTGATACCAACACTGAGATGTTAATATGAAAATATATTGAGTAATTATCTAGAATTAACCCTAATTTGGAACACGCAAAACACAAGTTTATACATATATTATATTATACTTTAGTTTAATTACTGTAGTATGATTTAACATGAAGTTGAAGTTGCCATTTGAACTTTGTTTCATTTGTTCTACATATTATATTCACGTATTACGTAACTGTGTATACTGAGATTTAATACCGTAACGTATTATCTAGATATATTATCTAGATGTATTATCTAGATGTATTATCTAGATATTATATATCTAGATATATAATATCTAGATATATATCTAGATATATATCTAGATGTATTATCTAGATATATGATATCCATGTATCTATTATCTAGATATATATCTAGATACCTAATCACTGACCTTAGTAAGAGAGGTGAGGTGAGCACAGCAGGTTGCTCTCTTCTCCTCACAACTTGAGCCATATCTCATCTAGGGTCAGATACAAGTTAGATGGAGGAGTCAATTCAATAGAACTTAAAAAGTTTACAGTTATCTATTCTTTTCATATTATCGACCTTGAACTATCCTAACTCTAGATCCAACGATGACATTGTGTTTACATCCTGTATGTTTAATTCAGCAATATTTCAATAAATAAAGTACAACGGCCATCCACCACACGACACTCAGATATGGGATTTTCTCAATAATTCTGGAAGTAGAGCGTATTATTCTGAGGAACCATTTAAAGCTAATTGTAGCTGTGCGAGTAATTTCTTTAGAAGGAGTTGTGACGTTGACAGCAGAATTGCTTCTGATCACGAGACTCTACTTGGACCAACAAGATAATTAGAAAATTTTGAATTTATACAGTGAGTACTTCTTATGAACAAAAAGCTTCTACCACAGAACTCAGCAGAGCAATTTGATTGGTTCATTGCTTGAGAGCCCTGAGATCAAGATTTGTGTATAAAACTTGGGTAACTACCAAATCTTAAGCTGCTGTTGAGTATTGGATCCGCTAACTACGTATAGTTCATCTTGTGAATATAGCGCAGCTTTAGGAAATAGAATGTAAATCTAGAGGGGACACCAGGTCTCAAGCTCCTGTCTTTATAAACTTCTTTGTTTGAATTGTCTCCACTTTACTTGGATTTTTTAGCGTACTTAAATCCTACCCTTCATAATATTATATTATAATGTTTTAAATGTTGTCAGTACATCCATCATATCGTACAGTTCTCAATTTAATATAGTAAAGACACGGCCATTTTTATTCGCATTTTGATAGGTTGTTGTAGTCGGTCATCGTACATCAATCATCGTTGCATAGACTGTAAGTTGAATATTACTTTTTCAAAGGGTACCAGATCAGTTTACAATGTAGTCTATCAAGAGAGACACGGTATGGGTGTGTAATCCTTTAGCTTGAGATGAACGACAGATATTCGATATTTCTCTGTTTAGGCTTGATATACCTATCAGCTAATGGTGAGTAACGATACAATTTGTACTATCTACTTATATTAAATAATAACTTTCAATAATTATTGCAACTAAGTCATTTCAGTTTTTTATGTTATTTATAATCACACATCCAGAAAGGCTGTAGATCGGCAGATAAGCCTCTAGGATTTCGGCGGAAATTTTGTGACAAAGAGGACATTTTAAAAAGACCTGACCTTTTTAAGGGCATAAAAATTTTTAGAGAGGGAAAATTTGCGAAGAAATTTAAAACTTCTTGGATGTGGGCTTACAATACTGCAAGTGTTCACTGTATTATATCACATCATGATAGTACAATTAAATATTGAACGTTTTGTAGTGAATTGTAAGTTTCACAAGACTTTAAAAATAATATTAGCAACAATATGGAAATAAATTCCATTTCACAGGAAGAGAAGTAACATTATTATCTGTAACACCATTATCTGTGGAGTCCTCCTCCTCGACAGGACGTGACAACATCAACAACATCATTGATGGAAACAACGAAACGAGTGCATGCACGAAAATGAATTCAAATCCCTGGTTTCAAGCTAAACTTGACGGAATGCATTGTATTGCACAAGTTCATGTTAAGAGACCATTCTCTAGGGACTGCAACTTCACGGTTTTAAGCGATGCCCCATTAGAACGTACAGGGAACTGTGAAAATCTCTATCTGGACATCTTCAACGGCTCAACAGATTCTACCACCTCCTCCCCTTCTAGCAGATCTGGGTGTTTAATAGGGGACACTGTAAAAATACGATTTAGTATCTATAGTAGCCTCTGTGTATGTGAAATAAGAATCGTAGAATTATTCATAAGTGAGTAGTTTTAAGTACATTTTGATAAAATGCAATGACAAATCGAAGAAAAAAGCAACGTATCATTGAGTCATGTTTATTAACTAACCTCGTGTATTCCGTGTAAAATTATCTTTATCCCGGTTGTTGCGACAAGTAAAAATGCTCTTATTAGGGAAAGGAGTTTACAACCGGGATAAAGATAATTTTACACGGAATACATTACAACAATGCGACTCATAAATAATACTCCAATCCGGATTTTACATGAACTAACCTAGTGACAGTCGCATTTTAGGATTAGTTTTATTCAATGCATAATGTAACTCAGACATATCTCAGATTGCGAAGACAACAGTCTGAAGTGGGAGAATGTAACAACAGACCCACCACTCCCAGTAAAACATGGGGTTCAGCTAAATTTGAACTGCGAACCCGGTAAAACCAACTCAGGAGGGGATGTGGCTGAATGTAAGGATGGGAAGTTAGTGCTGGCTAGTGCTGAACCCCCAATTTGTGGATTTGGTAAGCAAAACCCATTATATAATTCTAAGTATAATTATTACTATGTACCAACATACTTTAGATACGTTTTACCGAAGCGGCCAGACATAGTTTAAAACAAGGTTATTGGCTAAAATAATGCAGGCCAGCTCAGGCAACTAGCTTAGTTTCCAGAAATGTGTGTGTCAAAACTTGGTGCTCAATAAATTTGACTACCAAAAATTTGGGTTGGAGATTTGGACTTATTTTCCATTAATTTAACTTATTTACCATTAATTTGAGTACGAAACATTTGGGCGAGAGGGCCGCCCAAAGTTTCTGTCGCTCAAAATTTGTTCGATAAGGAGGTGCAGCGTATTTACCATTTACTTAGACATATCTGAGCAGATTGCGAAGCCAACAGTCAGAAGTGGGGGAATGTAACAACGAACCCACAGTTGCCAGTAGGACATGGGGTTCAGTTAAGGTTAAGCTGCCCACCAGACCAAATAAACTCAGGAGGGGATGCAGCTCAATGTAAGGATGGGAAGTTAGAGCTGGTTGGTACTAAACCCCCAATCTGTGGATTTGGTAAGGAACATTTGTCAGATACTTTTGCAATCATTGTACTATAAGTATATGTAAAATCTATATGCTGTAAGTGGATCTGTTTTATCTAGTTAGTCATAAATAATTGAATAAATGAATCATCGCAAAGAAAAAAACAAGCCAAGAATTATTTGGTCTCAGAGATTAAATTATTCTATAAAAAGTAATTTCTATATCTAATAATTGTAGATGAAGTCATCACACCAACATCGGCAAGACAGTCAAGCTATGCTGACGGCGATTACGGTGCAAATAATGCCATAGATGGAAATAACAACACACAATCATGGACAGACTTTGAAGCAGCAGCATGGTGGGAAGCACAATTGGCAGAAGTGTATTGCATCAGCAAAATCGTAGTTGAAAGGGGAGGAAGTGAATGCACCTACACCTTTTCGTGCGGCATTATCAGTGGCCATGGTTCTGCAAAAGATAGATGTGGCGATCTTTCAGTAGAAATCTATGATGGAAATAGGCTAATGAAAGATGAAGATTCCCTATGCCTAAATGTGTACTCGGGGATGCAGTAAAACTGCACAGACAAGCAAGCAAACCAAACATGCAACTGAGTCTGAAAGAAATAACAATCGCAAGAAGAATTGATACCGAAGGTAAGTAGCTTGTAAATGTATTGTTATGACTTATGATTATCATAGTGTGCAAACATTAAGTGGAACCCAGTGAAATCGTCAATACAAGTGATATTATATGCTCATTGCACATAATATGGCACGTTTCATCAAACTGTTTCATAACTACACACGCTCATAAAATTCAGGGGATACAAAATGCTGTGGAAAGGCGCCAGATTGGTCTAACATAGAAGAAATGGACCAACTACCAGTTAAACATGGAACTCAACTGTCAGTCAGTTGCAAACATGGTCACAGAAACGTCGGAGGAAACAGTAATATCCGGTGTCAGGATGGAATCATCATCGCTAGTGAAGCACCAAAATGTTTAGGTAGGATTACAAAAGTTATAATTTTCATTCTTGATATAGGAGCTGATCAAAAATGATATAATTCAAATTGATATTCTTAAAAGCTACTCAAAAGCACAGAGCTATTCCTTGCCAAGTACTTTAACAAACTTGTTTTTCCAGCTAGTTGCAAAGATGAGAGTATTATCTGGGACCATGTTCAAGTAGTAGACCCATATTTGCCTGCTGAACATGGTGCACCAATCAGATTCAGCTGTGTATCTGGTTACAATAATTTTGGAGGCGGAACGGCAAATTGTAACGATGGTAAACTCGTTCTAATTGATGGAGATCCACAATGTTTTGGTATTATACATTATTCTCAATTCTTTATTAAATTTAAATTTAGTAGGGCCTACAAACTTATGTCTCGATGTCAACCAATTGGCCGTTATATTTTCCAATCTTAACCTAGATCAGAAGTTTATAATTGACTTTAATTTAATTAACTACACCTTAATTTCTTAGCTGATTGTAGGATCTACAGTCTGTCAAAGGAAGTAACGTCGGAACCAAAACTTCCAGTTTCACATAAAACTCCGTTAGAGTTGAGTTGCTTCCCTGGTCATACCAACTTAGGTGGTAACTCTGCTACATGTACGGATGGGGATATTGTACCAACTTCAGAAAAACCTTCATGCATGGGTAAATCATTTACAATGATTTAGATATTGAATAAGAATAATTAATATGTGTTTAGAACTTTAGTGAAATGAAATAGAACAGTAAAATATAGACATAGTAATTCAAGAATAATACACATAATGATTTTTTAATATTTCACATTAGATCAGAACTTCATGCACAAAACTAGATTTTTACTGTATGAAACTGAAAGATTATCATAATATCTAAATATAATCATTGCGATATATCGAAATTCATCTTGAAACAAAAACAATTAGTTTATTTCTGCAGTGTGGGTTGAAATGTAAAAGCTACATTTTAAAGCCTTAGCTCAGATAACTAATTAAAAATCACCTCAGCTGACTGTGACAGAGATAATCTACCTTCCAATTCAAGGACCAATCACTCAATGCCTATACAACATGGTACTGAACTGTCAGTCAGCTGCAAAGAAGGATACAGTAACTCAGGTGGTAGTGAAGTTGTCTGTGAGAACGGACTGTTCAATCCTCAAGGAAATCCTCCAAACTGTTCACGTAAGCAAAACAATAATGGTCAGGGATAAAATCAAAGTTAACAGATATTCTGAGAATTAATTTGTAATCAAATGTAATTTCATACTCTCCATGCCATTCGATCAAAGCTATTTAAGATCTTTGTTGCAGGTGACTGCTCAACTAAAAGCATTGTGTGGGAGAATGTTACAGTAGATTCAAGGTTGTCTGTTGAACACGGTGCACTGATAACATTTACCTGTGTTTCTGGTACCAGTAACTTTGGAGGTGAAACGGCACAATGTCATAATGGCACACTCATTCCAACAGATATACCTCCACAATGTTATGGTACATATTATGATGTCTCCTCCTTTTTGTTGTGTATACTTTAGTTCAAAAAAGATAGTTAATTAACAATTATCTCAGCCGACTGTTTCAAAGATAGTCTACCTCCCAAATTCAACAAAATATTGGAATTTTTTACTCATTATTCCACCAAAACTTTACAATGTTATGGTACTATGATTTTCCTATAGCTAGGTAATTTACTTTGGCTTTCATGAACATAATTGTTGTGAATGAATCGTGCAATCCATTATAGAAATTAACCAGAATTATATTTTAGTTCCACATGACTGCCTACTGGACAGTGTTTTATGGGATAACACTAAGACAGTGCCAACACTGCCCGTGAAGGATGGGGAGAGAATAACGATTAAGTGTGCAGATGGTTACAGAAACAACGGCAGTGTCACAGCCACATGTGTGAATGGAACTTTAAAACCATCTGAAAAGCCTACTAGTTGCCTCCCAAGTGAGTTCCTTGCGAAATGAGTCATTTGGCACACCAGACCACTGTGCAATTTTAACAAGTTGTGTAGCAAATGAACTATTATCTGAGGAAAAACACATGGGAATGTGGGTTTTCCTCTGATCTTAGTTTCATCTATACATTCAAATGTTATATAATAGAAACCAATTTACCAATATTAATCTTTGCTTTGGAAATCCTGACGTTAGTCTATTTATTTACTACTAAATATTAACAGCTACTGATTAAATTAGTAGTCAGGTTTACTCAGCTAGCTGATCTCCAACTCATGACAGCAAAGATCAATCTCAGAAAGCTTATTGTGCAGATTGGCTGCTTGATTGTGTCAGGTACCCTGTCAGTGGGTCACGTGATCCTATGCAGGAAGCATAAATGTGATTAATTAAGATACACTAATGTTTTAATACTTTCAACACAATGTTTTAATACTTTCAACACTACTATATGGACACGTTCATTTGAGTTTGAGGATATTGGTAAACAAAAATAATAGCGTTTTCGACGATAGTGGCTTAATTTTGACATCTATTAACCTAGCATGTTCAGAAGTTCTGAACATTAGCCACGTAACCCATACTCCCATATGCACCGCTCAGAAAGAAAATCTATTGTTGTTAGGCACTATAATGGTTCAAATGTCACATTTTGTGTGACTTAGTTAACTGCAGATGTCTAATTATCATTCCTTGGTCTGAAATATAGTAAATTAGGTCAATCTTACAATTATGATACAACATTGGTTAATGGGCACGGATCGAACGGTTACAAGGCAATATTTGGGTAACTTTGTCACACTCATGATACCATACCTCTATTCTAATGTGAGGTGTCCTAAAAACCCTTTCAACTCATTATTTGATGGTTGCTCTACCAATCATAGCCCTAAAATATATCGTTTTGAATAGTTAGCTAATACAGGCACTTGGTTATTGGGAAATGAGGTTAATTCTGTCACAATATATGAAATTTTAAATTTTGGGCGAATTATTTATATTTGATTTTGGTTTGAAAGGCGGGAAAACTTTATATGTTGACAATGTAGTTGATGCAAGTTAAGATCAGTTGATGTTTACATTGTCACAAAAAATTATACGAAATCGTAAATAGGCTAAGAACAATGATTATAGAATGAAATAGTCTCTTATAATAACTCTTATAATAACTGATGTGACAAAGTGAACATGTCTTGCCCCTATTTTGAAGATCTATATTCTATACCTCTATTAGAATTCAACATTCTTAAGTTTAACAATTTTAGGTTAAATTTGTCAAAGTCACTAAAAATGTGACAAAATTAACTTTCCCTGCCCCAACAATATCAAGATAGTGTGTTAAAATTGGCATACTAGAATGCTTTATTGCCTATATAAATCAATCCAAACTACAAAATATAATATGTTAATGTGATGACGATTACCTAACTCTTATAATAACTGATGTGACAAAGTAAACATGTCTTGCCCCTATTTTGAAGATCTATATTCTATACCTCTATTAGAATTCAAAATTCTTTCAGAAACGATTGGAAGAATATTGTCCAGAACATCAGAGCTCAATTTTAACAATTTTAGATTAATTTGTCAATGACACTGAAAATGTGACAAAATTAACTTTCCCTGCCCCAACAATATCAAGATAGTGCACGTTAAAATTGGCATAGGGTGCTTTATTACAGGTATATTAATCGATCCAAACTACGAAAAATATCTTTTAATCTGATGACGAATACCTAACTCTTATAATAACTGATGTGACAAAGTAAACATGTCTTGCCCCTATTTTGAAGAACTATACCTCTATTAGAATACTATGAAACTTAATCATCAAAAATTTTTCGATAAACTAGTTATTTTGCCAGCAAGGAGCTAACAGAGTTATAATAATTTTTTTGTGACGAAATTATCCTATTTTTGACCATGTTGTGGTAGTTTAATTGTGACACTGTTAACATATTACCACCTGATAATGATTCATGTGACTGCAGGTGCATGGTACTAGCAGTGTTGTTTGATCCATAGTACGTAATATAAGGGGTTTAAGCTGGTATATCATTATTTGTTCAATTTCACACATGTTCAGATATCATCAAGATTACGTGACAAAGTAAACTTGGTTGTGCCTTCTGTGTTTTAATTCCTTACGAATATATGATATAATAACAATTCCCAGCACTTTCAGGCCATCAAATAAACCTACACTACTCAGCATTGCTTATCAGGGTGCCCTAAACATTCATCACATATTTTCTTTAATGTGTGACAGAGTAAACATGAGTGCACCATCTAACGAAAAAAGTCGTCAAATATGTAGGTAATGGTCATATGTACCCATCCAATCAACTGGACACTCAAAAATTTGGTCAAAAACGGCAGCAAGGGGTCCATATTTACTCCGTCACATGTTTATAGTGTGACAATGTAACCATTTCCGTGCCGGCCGTATTTAAGCGATATCTTATCACCTGATTAAGATATCGTTATGTGACAAAGTTAGCCTAGAGGATGATACGATTATCCTAACCATCAAGGGTTTATGTAATTTCATAGTGTGACAAATTCAACTACACTGTGCCATTTAATAGGGTAACTTATATTTACCAATATCCTCAAACTCAAATGAACGTGTCCATATAACAAATAATTTGAGGCTTATGTCACTGAAGATGACGCCTTGCAACCTGTTTGACGATAGCCTGTAAATTGATAGTTTGATCTCAGTATTTACAACAAATCATCTAGCTTGATTGATTCAAAGGGAGAATTAAATTCCTTGATTAAGATACAAACTGCAGGTGATTTAAAAAAAAACAAAGTTCAATCACTCAAAAGTGGTCTTATGATTAGTCAGAAGTTCATAAATATGAATTAACATTATATTGTATATTTATAAATTCTTATATTTCACTCTTCAAAAGTGCTCAGTAGTAGCTGAGCACTTTTGAGATTTTTTGAGGTAGCAATTCAAATAGGACACAGTTAGATAGCTTTTTAATGAAAATAATAATATTATGACATTGATACATCTGTACTCTCTAGCTCTCTCACAGAATCATCTCATACTTTATTTTCAGGAGTAGTATCCTCACAGTGTAGCTGTTTGGATAGACTACTGCATCACTTAGTGATGTATGTTGTCGGTGAGAATCCCTACCACGCTTTTGGAGTTTGTGCCGGGGCTTATGTCTAGTCATGCCGACAGCATTAGTGTCTACAGAACAATCTCTTGCAATGTCACTACCTTCACAAGGTGACACTGTACCATGATTTCACTTTCTCACTCAGTAACTTCATTCCATTACCTCCTAGACTGCAATTTAGTTTGCACTTTCCATCATTTATACATTCTTCATGCACACCTTACTGCTCTCTTCTGCTTTTAACCAACATCAAAGAATTTTCCATGATGATTATACAGTATAATTTATTCAAATGTGAGTATTTATACTATGGTGAGGGGCTTATTTCAGTGATACAGGGTCAGTTTCTCTATATCTTTAGAAAAATTATATGTCATAGTACTAGTAGGCAATACTGATTGGTAGGAATGAAAACACTTGGGGCTAACGATGACTTATTTAGAAACTACTTCAGGCACATAAATGGTATCATTTATGCTTAGTTACTTCTATACAGTAATCATTAACTCTTGCAGAATCTGATTTGAAATTTCGTGTGTGCAAGATTTGGTATAGAGACTGCCATGCTATACTAATGATGTGATTGTGATGATACTATTGATAGCACTTTGAAACAGTTACCAAAAGTTACCAAAAGATTTGGTCGAATTTGACTTTAAATTCAATTGAAAGTATTTGACAGTATTTGAGAACAATTGACAGTATTTGAGGACATTAGAGCTTTAGAGATCAATTGAGCTGATTTGAGATGATACAGTATTTAAATGCAAGAGTGGTGTCGTTTTTGCAGCTCAGCCGAAGGTTCTAGTGTAGAAAAACGTCATGGAAATGTTATCGTAGAATTGAGGGAGCCCGTTATGTCAGTAATAAAGAAAAACATAATGATTATCCTTGGTTTCATCCTTGTGTGGCAAAGAAGCGGTTTATAAATCTTTATTCCACTGACATGATTAAGAAGTTTGAATAGGTTTTAATATATTATAACAATGTATTTGATAATTTTTTAATAATATTTTATTTGATAAATGATTAATGTAAGTGGGGATAATATTTATTATACTTTTTTTCATATAGTGCGATCATGATATTTTGTAAACATTTGTGATGATGTAATGTCATAATGTTTTACTTAAAACTTTAACCATTAATTGCGTTTCACTTGCCTTTATTCCGTGAAGACTAGGTAATTACTGAATAATTATTGGGTAATGGATTTATTGTAGGTTTATGACTTACCAAGACGCCTGCAGAGTCGGTCTTGTCAAATGTCTAATATTTGGAACAAATATTTTAAAAGAATCACCCGTTAATGGATTTATTACCTGAGTATCTTAGGCTTCTGTGTTGATAAACACATTTACTGATTAAAAACATGAATACAATATGTTTTGTTATGTAGTGCAATGCACCACTGGCCCTGGGCTGCTCATAGAATAATGCTTTTTAACCTATTGGGTTGCAGCCGTATACAGCAATAGCAGCGGATTAAAAAGTATATAATAGCCCAATTCAAGAATACTATGGTTACTCACTGGAATAAAGCGTATGTTATTGCCCACGTTAAGGGGCCTCATGTTAATAATTAATTAAATTATTAGCTATTTTAGATTTAATAATAACTCACTAGAGGGCGCCCGCCGTAGTACGCAAAGGCCGAAGACTCATGGTTATGTAAATAGCAACGTAGGTAACAACACGGACGGCTACTTATACTGCAAGCGCGAGGTCAGTGGCGTAACGTTGCCTGTTGGCGCCCCCCTGCCGAAAAAAGCGCCCCCCTGTTGGCGCCCCCTCCCCTTTTGGTGCCCCTCCCTAAAATTGAACAAATTAGGTGATTTTAAAGAATACGCCGGTAAAATCTCTAAAAAAGTGTGTATCTAGAGCAAAACGCGCAGTTTTGCTAGTACTTTAGTTAAGTTTTCGAAATTGTCCCACATTCAAACGACGATTTGGCGCGCCCCTAAGACGGCACCCCCCTGCACAGCGGGGTCAGCAGGGCCTTTCGTTACGCCACTGCGCGAGGTTAGAGCAAAGTTTGCTAATCTATCACTAATTGCTCTGCCACTGTACAAGAAGCTTGAAAAGAGCGCCACACACAGGGATTGGCGTGCCTACTATACTCCCTAGTAAAGGATATCGTCTATTCGACGCACCGCACGTATAATCATGCTTGCTTCGTTGCCAATTGTTGAGTGAAAAATAAAACTTTTAGAAAATATTTTAAATGGGTAATTTTGATCACATGCAGAAAGGAAATTAAAAACAAATATGTTAACGGGTGATACCCGTACAATATTTGTTTCAGATAGTAGGTTATATAATATGTTATAAACTTATAATTTTCTAGTAGAGACGCTGAAGACAAGCAAATTAATATATAAATCATAAACCAGCACTGGCTGAAAGATTGCAGTTCAAAAGACCTAGTGTACTATCGCCAAGATCAAGGACTCGAGTGCCAATATTGACTTTTTCGAACCCCTTTTCACCGATTGGCCTATGAGTGTTTCCAGTGAATCGCACTTTACTGCTAAACGGCACATAATGATTTGTGTTTACTCAATGAAACAAAAAATGCATCTACTGTGGCCACAATGTGTCCCATACTAAACGGATAATAGAGTCCACGATAGCCACAGGTATCATATCTCGAGACAGGCGACAAACACACAAACTAGATGAAGGCCGGTCGAAGAGGGGACCCCACTGCTGAAATTGACAAAAAGAATTGTTGATATTCTGATCTCAGATCTACTCATGATTTCTCCGCATAGTTTCTCACAACATACCTTAGTCGTTAATATTATATCATGGGGGGTCTAATTTGGTCCTTCTCGGGCCAAAGAACCATATTTATAACAGTCTATATTTTTACCCCCTCCCCCCCCCCCCCATAACTTAACCCCCCGAGTCAAATTTTGGTTGTATGACCCACCGCGCACGAGTGCGCGGCTCCCCTTGTATCGTAAAAACGCTAAACTTAGTGAAATGACAATGGGGTCACAACGTGATACAAAGTATGCTTACGTTATTGTTTGCTGAATTGAAGATTATAGTTTTGGTTCAAAAAGTCCGATTTACCTTCTATTCCCCCTGTCCCCCATCCATTCAATTTTAGAGGTTAACTATTCAAATTCAGCAACAGCTGTTTCGTGGCAGTGTACAAAATAAAACAAAATTTTAAATAAAACAATATTTCATTTTATACCCATAATCAATTACCCAACGCGAGCTGACTACTCAGAATGCGCGAGCACGTCAACATAAAATTTTTCGCGCCCTACAAACTTCGGTAGACCTTATAATTTGCAACTGAACGCTTGCGTATGTCGTAGTTCAAGCTGCGCGCGGTATGAGTATTTTTATTGCATCATACAACATAAATTATCGGATTATAAGTAGAAGCTATTTGTACAGGGATTTTCTCATCGATACTTTAAATGACTAATCTTTAAAAAACAAGGTCGATTCTTATACAATTACAATATATTTTGCATGTATATTTTGCATACATATGCGCGTTAAATCAATTCGTTATCATGTAATAATGTGTGTCATACTTAAAGCTAGGAAATTTGTGTATGGATTTTCATTCTAAAACATGGAAAGATTTCATCAATTAATGTAACTTGGTACCATATGGTTTATTTGATCTTATATGTTATCGATTTATATAGTTTTACGTTATCGTGTATCATGTATTGATAGTTATACATTATTATTATACAACGAGTCCAACCCAGCGCGCGTTTTGGTAGTTTAGAAACCTACAAATAATTTCATCCCCTGATAAACTCCAAGATATTATACATCAACGGATTATAATCTCATTGTATAGTCACATAACATGATACCATGACCTAAATTTTGACAAATGGCTAAGCTCTTGACAAAAATTATAACCTGTAAAAGTCATAAAAATGATAACTTCACATAATCGGGTGGAAATCATGCTTTTTAAAATTTTTCACGAAAGTTTTTAACAGCATATTGTTTATAACATTTTTTTACACAAGATTTGAATCATGTTGTAATTTTGTTTTCCAATATTTTGATCAAAAAATAATTTTTATTTGGATTTCAAAGTACGCACTACGCCGCGCAGTTAGAAATCGTAATTAGGAGATTTAATCATTATTTTCACAAGTGAGTCGATATATTGCAATCCCATCTCTTTTCGTTGCTGCTCACAGCATAGAGCTTCAATGCTCAAACCGTATATCTAGTTGATAGTAAAGTAGTATAGAAGTAGTAAAGTAGTATAGAAGCTGTTTCGTTGCACATTGAAATACAGATATTACTAAATGATCTTGAGAGATTATTTAATGTAATCGATTTAGTGTTACTGCCTTTAAGCTGTGATGTGCTGGAGACTACTAAAACTTGTTCTAGTATAGAAAAGCAGAGCGGATTTTGCTATCATGTTACACTTTTGTAGATCAGGATCGAATTTGAACGTATTACTCCTAAACAGATTATTTCAATCCTGCATTATATGGAAATATCAATAACCCATTCGAGCCTTTTTTTAAATGTGTTTATGTTGTTGAAAAAGTATATTATTGTGATACTTCCATGTATTAAATCGTTTAAATGGTATGGTAAAGAACAGTACACAGATACTTATTCTTTGATGCCCCTAAACACATTCCTAGCTCTAGATCTGCCTTACATTTCAATAATGGCTCTTTCATCACATTTGCTTGATAACTGCTGATTTGTAATGCTTAAAATTGATCCCACTCAGTTTGACTATCTTAGCTGTAATATCGAACTCGACAGTAGCTTCCTCTGTCATGTCGGAGATCTCAGGAGACGACTGGGTATTTTGTGTCAAGAAGAGGTTGACCTCCCACTTAACAAGATAAACATCAAATTCATAGGTTTGTTTCTATTTTGATGGTTACTGATACAGCAGTTCATGTGTTAAAAATGTATGGGTTAAATTCTAATTAAATTCGGTAATAAATATTACTGCAAATGTTGTAAACGGTAAAACCATTGTGTATAAGACAGTCAATTATCTCAGGAGTGCCAAACAGGGACCGTTTAATCGAAAGGACTTCTCTGATGACAGAGATGTGGAAAAGACTACGTCCTTCTCTGGAAAACTACAAGGATAAAATACCCACCTTCTTCGGGAAAAAGTCCATCATATGCGAAAGGTAAATCGTTTATTTTTGAAAACCCGATCACGATCAAAGCATACACAATTTGGGCATGTCCCAGCCAACTTAAGCCGAAAATCTGGCTTTGAAATCTTTAATTTGAAAACACCCAAAAATGTAGTTAATATACCCCTCCACCATACCAGATCGATTTTAAGTCAGCCAAGGCATAATTACTGCCCAAAAAGCCTGTTCCAAATTTGTCTCAATTCTGTTCCAGAATCCCAACTTCTCTGAAACCAAAATGGAACATTGCCCACAAAGCCTTTTCTGAGGATGCTAGGGCCACCAAACTTTTCAAGGACACTCCTGGTATCGATACCAATCGATTCTGATCGCCTTCAACTCAGTTTAGGCGATTTTAGGGTAAAGTTCATTTTTGTTCATTTCATGAACCAGGGGATCATTTTGCACTAAAAAGGTTTTTTTAAAGTTGAACAAAAAATGTCACAATTTGATGTGTGAAAATAGTGCTTTCGATGTGAAACTGGATGATTCTTGACGCACCCTATCCCTTCGGTGGAGTATTACATTTCAAAGAAAAAAACTTCTGAGTTGCTGAACATGTTAGTAAACAATATGCCCCTCTACCATACCATATCGATTCCATGCCAGTCCAGGCATAATTACCGCTAAAAAGCATGTTTCTAAATTTGTGTCAATTGTTTCCACCATCTCAACTACTCTGAAACCAAAATAGAAACATTGCCCCAGAGCCCTTTCTGAACATGCTAGGCACACCAAACTTCTCAGGGACACTCCTGGTATCAATACCGACCGATTCCAATTGGTTTTAGCCCAATTCAGGGGATTCTAGGAAAATGTTCATTTTGTGTTCATTTCATTCATTCCATGAACCAGGGGAGTATTTTGCACTTCTAAGTGGCTGGAAATGTTAGTACATGTGTCCTTCTACCATACCAGATAGATTCCAAGTGGACACGTTCAAAAAAAGGTGGCACTAGAGATTGATTTTTTTTAATGAGTTTTTAAAATGGTCATTGCTCTTTGTTGGTTGATATATCTATCTATACCTTTAGAAATTCGATTAAATTTCATGATCCTGAAATCACGGAGTCTGTAGTGCTTATATCACAGGAGTTATCGTTATTTGTGTGCCAATGATTCAAAAATCACACAATTAGAAATGCAAGATGAATCAACACTAGATAATCTGAAAAGTACTATTCACAAAGACGCCAAAATTGATATGGTGACTATAATGCATGTAAGGAATAAAATGTCTTATCTGAAATTGTTATTGGTGCCAAAATGATTCAAAAATCACAACTTAAACATTGGAAATGAGCCTATTTTGAGCAGTGATTATTGAATCATCTTACGTTTTTATTGGCTTTCTATCATTTTTTAGAGTACAAAATAGTATTAAATAGTATTAAAACCAGTTAATATGATTCAAAATCACATTTTCGTTATTGGTGCGCTATTAAGTCTCACTATAGTAAGCCTTAAATTAAGTGCACAATATGACAACATATATCCATTCTATGGTTCTTATTATGTGATTTTTGAATCCATGTCTAAGCTTATACCATATTGAAGGCCTTTGAGCGATAATTTTTGATCTGGGTGGTTAAATGATTCAAAAATCACACAAATCTGGCTACCAACTATGTAATTTTCTTTAAAGTATGACAATTGAATCATATGTAATGTTCAAGTTGTAATGACATTTTGAAAAGAAAGGTAATGAATCGATAATCACATTTCAAAAATTCAATTAAGTATTATACGTAACTGATTGATTCATTTGTCACAGTATGGAGACAAAATTATCATGGCCTGAGTAGTAAAAGTACTTGCCTAGTTTAATCAGTTTAAAATCAGTGTTTTGTGATTATTGATTCCACTATTACTCTAATAACGAACTTCTCCATGACCATAAACAAGTGCAGTGTCACAACAAATTACTGCAGATTTACTATGAATACCAACCTGATATAGAGCCAAAAAGTGATGTTGTTGTTGTGAAACCAGTATTTCTGGTACCCATAGGGGATTTGAAATCAACTTATAAATCAAATGTCATTCCTCAAAGTATCATAATCAAACCCCGGGCGAGTCCAAAATTAGAAACCTGAGTATTGATTCATATGAAATATGAATATCTCTTTAACGATAAAATTTCCTGAACCAGATCTGACTCGCTATGTCTGTTCAGACATGTTTGTCTGCCAGATCGTGGTACCTGAGTCCCTTCATTGCCGTGCATTGAAATCACACAATAACACACAAAGCTAGAATCACGGCAAATCGACATTCATCGCTTTTTCATCGGAGTACTAATGGACAGTGTTCAAATGGACAGTGTACATTCCCCTGATACAGCATCATTTCAATACATGCTCATTTATGTGATTTTTGACTCATTATGGCACTTTTAACCATCTAAATTCTCTAAATATTAGTTAGCATGATATAATTGTGATTGATAGAGTTCATTGTTACAATCATTCCGTTGATATTCATATCACATTCATCATTCTAAAATACTTAGTCAGAATTAACCCTGTATGTGATAATTGCATCGTAACTCCACATTTAACCGGTGATCCTTTGCACTTTTAACACTCAGCTATCTCAAAAAGGTTCAATAATCACATTGAGAAGCAGGACACACTCACAGAATGTAAATTCATCATTAGAGGTGCAAGAAATGAATATTTTGTGATTTCTGGCTCATATCTGCACAATTAACAGATATAAAGAGATGAATGACTTTATTATGTGACATTTGAATCTTTTTGGACCACATTAAAATTTGGTTAACTTTCATAGCATACTCCTTGAGATACAAGTATTTTAAAATGCTTCACACAATTTTGGCAGTGAAAAATCAATCTCTAGTGCCACCTTTTTATGAACGTGTCCAAGTCAGTACAAGCATAAATACGGCTGTAAAAGCATGTTTCCAAAATTGTATCAAATGTTTCCACCATCTCAACTACTATTTTCATTTTTGTTCATTTTCCATACATTCCATGAACCTGGGTAATGTTATTTGAGTTTTGATGGCTCTTAGGCCTAGTTTTTACCTACATCCATCTTAGAAAACCGAATTGAGGCTTCCCAGCACTTAAATACAGCCAATACTTCGATGTGCCCATGTTCCAAAAATCTGGATTCTCAGGAGGATTATTGTGCCAAAATTGGGACATTTTGGAACATTGGTAACATCGGTTCTAGACATGCAATGATTCTCAAACTTGGTTTGAGTGGTCCTAGGACTAATATAAACACTTTCCGACCCATTTTAAACCATTCTGAGCACTTTGAGAAGAATGTTCATTTTCGTTCATTTCTGGTCATTCCATGGGTAGTTTTATACGACTTTTTATGGTTCCTAGGCCTAGCTTACGGCTATATCCATCTTAGAAATCCGAACTGAGCCTTCCCAGCACTCAAATACGGCCAATACTGTGATGTGCCCATGTTCCAAATTTATGAATTCATCTACTGCATCTTCTGATGGTGGCTGGCGAGTTCATGAATCCGAGATTTTGGAACCAATTTGGAACCAATGATACGGTTTTGATACGGTTTTGATACGGTTTGGAACCAACGTTATTTTGACTATATTTTGGATCAAAAATAGATAATTATGGTTGTACGGTGTAGGGGGATGTGTTTACCAACTATTTTGACGTCAAAATTGTCGCCAGAGGCTCCCTGAGTCATGGAATGAACGGAATGAACAAAAATGAAATTTTTTCTAAAACTCGTCGGATTGCCCCAAAACAGGTCGGAATCGTTTGGTATTGACCCTAATAGTGTTCCTGCAAAGTTTGGTGGCCCTAGCACTCCCAGAACGCCCACTAGAGACTTGGTTCCATTTCCGTATCAAAAAGCTGGTTCCTGAGTATCCGAGCTTGTGGAACCAGATGATACGGTTTTTGAGGCATTTTGATACGGTCATTTCAGTCTGTTAAAGTAGTTTCAGAGTGCTGGAAATGGTTGTATGGTGTAGGGGGATGTGTTTACCAACTATTTTGACGTCAAAATTGTCGCCAGAGGCTCCCTGAGTCATGGAATGAACGGAATGAACAAAAATGAAATTTTTTCTAAAACTCGTCGGATTGCCCCAAAACAGGTCGGAATCGTTTGTTATTGACCCTAATAGTGTTCCTGCAAAGTTTGGTGGCCTTAGCACTCCCAGAACGCCCACTAGAGACTTGGTTCCATTTTCGTATCAAAAAGCTGGTTCCTGAGTATCCGACATTGTGGAACCAGATGATACGGTTTTTGAGGCAATCATTTGATCCGATGCTTATCGAGTAATGATGAGATCCACTGGAGCCAGAGGGGGCAAGAACGAGGATATGATCTTCTTAGAAGACAATGATCTGATCTATCGGAGACAAGAACCCTGCATGCGATCAAACGTGATCTGAACCTTATCAAGAAGGATTCACATGCTTGCTGCTTGTTTGTAAACAATTGGCTCGTTATCCCTGTCACGATGAAGCGGGTATAAATACCCTCGCGAAATATAGCTCACCCGGTTTCAGTTTACTATTTCACACACTGAGTACAATCTTTTGACATTTCAACTTTAAGCTCTATCTTTCAAATACACATTTTTATTTTGTAGTTTACGCTACGTGCCTGTCTTCTTTGCCTACTTTACTCTAAACTACGTTGTTTTCTACAACTAGTTCTGAGTCCTCCCTTCCTACTCCTATCTGGACTGTGTTGTTTCCTACAACCAGTTCTTTGACTAAACTTCTCCCTATCTGAGTTTTACTTATTGGCTGTTTTTTACAGCTAACTCAGTCAACACGACTACTCCCTATGGATACATCTCAGGTAAATGCCGTGGTTGAGCTCATTCGTGACTCCCACAAGTTCGATTCATCTTTAGGTGTATATTATCATAATATCCAGGATGCTTTGCCTCCTTTATCACATGCTTATTCTGACCCCCTGACCGTGTGCTCCTCTGTAGTACTGCGGTTAGAGTGTGGTTCTTATGTGTTCATTTCTGATCTTAAGTCAGGTCCTAAGATACCCCACGTTAGATTGTTTTGTAGTTCCTGAGTTCAGTTCATGTTTCCTTTATCTGATAAGTTGCAACAGTTCTTTAAGCACTTTTTCCCCTGTAAGCACACTTTAGATGTATATGAATGTTCTGACCACTGCTCACTAGATAAGGATGGCTCTGTAGAGGCTCTCTTAAATTTATATAGCTGCATAATAACTGATTAACTGATAGGTCTCTTAAGTGTAATCTCTTGGAGAGCCAGAAAGTATTAGATGGAATAGTTGCAAGTTTCCACACCTCCATAAGTTCTAAGATTTTTGTTAGATACTCTGACCAGTTGTTTCATTCTGTTGAGGAAGTTCGGCCAGACAAGTCGTACTCTGTTATGATTTGTTCTGCCGAACAGGTACTCCAGAATAGGCAGGAACTAGGTGCCAAGTTAGATAATCAGTCACGTAAACGTTCAGTCAAACCTTCTGTCGACTCAGACGAGGATTTCAGCACTCTGCAGCCCCTTTAACAGACTGAAATGACCGTATCAATATCGGATACTCAGGAACCAGCTTTTTGATACGGAAATGGAATCAAGTCTCTAGTGGGCGTTTCATTTTGTTCATTCCGTTCATTCCATGACTCAGGGAGCCTCTGGCGACAATTTTGACGTCAAAATAGTTAGTAAACACATCCCCCTACACCGTGAAACCATTTCCAGCACTCTGAAACTACTTAAACAGACTAAAATGACCGTATCAAAATGCCTCAAAAACCGTATCATCTGGTTCCACAATCTCGGATTCATCTTCTGTGGCTGGCGCGAATTCGATTTTCGGTAATAAGAACCACATCAGTTTTCAAATTTGAGATATTTTTAGCGCGCGGCGCGCGCACTGCGTGTTAAATTTTAAATTTACGCCAGCTAGCAGGTGTCAGATTTACTGGTTATAATTGTGGGAAGTCCATCTATGTTTATTATTAATAATTTTTGGTTGACTATCTATTTTCCCCAGGAAACTTACTCACGTGCGAAAGACGAACTCTAAGAATTGGAGAATAACGGCAGTAGACAGCAGCTAACCTCCCCCTTGCTCAACGACATTGAACAATAGACATGAAATGACTCGCTGACCCCCTACAAAGTACTTGTGCTCGGAGGCAGAATTTGGCATCGTTTGGGTCGAGAGATTTCCAAGGGTAATGATACAGTTAAACTGTATAAAAATACCTCTCAAAAACAACCTTCTCTTGGTCGGCCATGTCCCTCATCCTGCACTTGACCCCTGCAGAGGTCACAAGAACATCGGAGCACAAATGAGCGAGAAACGGGGAAGCCTTAGCTTCCGGGTCAAGGACTGCATCACTAGCACCTACCTATTGAACCTATTGATAGGTTTAAAAGTAGGCATCTTCACGCAATCTGCGGACCACCTCCTAGCAACGAAATACGGATATACCCTCCCTATTACATGCGTTCAACCGGCACCCGAACCACACGCTGTTTCTTAGACACAACTTCCCACTTAAATCAGTGTCCTGTCGCATCAACTGGCATCGGCAAGTGGCGACACTGTGTAGACTCAACCCTGAGCTTGATCAGAATCTTCAGTCACAAACCTGACACCGTTTCGGGGCTTGCAATACGGTTTTCTGTCAGGCTCCCAGCAGTTTCTTTTGGACCACCATCTCATCTGACAGCTCTCATCTCCCATTCTCTCTTCCTAGACAGCAGACCTGGGAGAAACTCCTTCTAGCCGGACGTCACGCGTGATGTACGAGAAACTACGGACAGGTGTGTACCTATACTTTTTAAAATTACACATTTCGTCTGGATTGTGATTCACTGCAAAACAAGTCGCAGGTTCCAATTGTAGAACTATAAAATTTTAATAATTCATGGTTGATTATACGGCCTAAGCGGTATACAAATAAAGCGTTATTATTATTATTGCCTCTAATCCTCAGGGTACTCCTACTTGCGTGCGAAAGACAAAGGCAGCAAGAATCGAAGAACAGAACCCCGACCACACTGCTTGTGAGAAATGAGCAGCTCTTGATCTAGGACAAAAAACTTTCTTCTGTTTAATATCTAAAACGTGTTACGTGTGATATTACACCAACTTTTGATTAATAATACGAAACTTTATACCTTATAAAGTATGATATTTAAACTAGTACAGGGAAATCCGTCTGAAAAAATCGATTTGCCGACACACAAAGCTTACAAAGGATTTTTGACGTTTTTGAGTCCTAATAGGTGTCCTTTATGGCTGACCAACTTTTCCAAACTTTTCCACGTGTCTTAAGGCCACTTTTTACCACTTTACCACTTTTTACCACCTTTCTTGTTTGTCAAATATCTTTAGTTGTGAACATCGTAGAAAGTTGCAGATTAAACGAGGGTGTTCATATTATCAAGAAGAAAAACTTTTGTTGATACAATTTTTTCCTCAGATAATCAATTAATTGGATAATTATCAATTAGCTAATTAGCAAAAATTAAAAAATTTTTTATTGGCTCAAAATGATTGGAATAGCTTAAAACACGGAGAAAAGTAGTTTTTAGAAAAACTTCGAAAATTTTTCACTAACATTTTTTTTTCGAGACTTAGAAAATTTTTTCGAATTTTCGAAATTTTTTTCGCCAAAAGTTATCAAATTGCATGAAACGTGGAGAAAAATGCTTTTTAAAAACACTTCGTGAATTTATATTTTCAAGAATACTAAAATCACTTATATATTTGTAGTTGGAGTTCAGTAAATCTTGGCAGATTTTAGTAATCAGGAATTATTAAATCGAAATAGATAAAAGGACTGAAACTGAAAAACGTTAACCACAGGATATTAGAGTTTTATAATTAATTACAGTATATCCTTATCGATTTTTACAGAAACTGCACCAAAGGCACATTTAAGATCGAGCCGATAGCCTGCTGTACTACGATAATATGTAACAAATAAAACATCTCTGAGTCTGTACCGTCAATCGTGCTAATCTGAACCAGCCTACCTGGATTACCATCTACCTCTTCTTTTCATCAATAATTAGACCGAGTTGTGCAATAAATGTGATTTATTATAGCTCATAATAATTACATCACCCACCAAATGCAATATGAGTCATATCGCATTTGATGGGTCTGTAAAAAACTTCTACTTGTCGTCATGGCTCATTGACAGCTCGAAGAAGGCAATAAAACATCAGAAAGCCTAAAATGTCAACTCGCTCATTTTAATGTTCTTCGATCCGTCCCACATTGATCCCGAGCTGATCATCATGACCCCCAAATATTCTGCGGCAAGAACTGAAGAACCTGTCTTTTTACTTCACAACATCCGGATTGCAAACCAACATAATCATTACCGTTTCTTTACTACCCCACGGCTCTTGCCCATGTCCAACGCTCGTATCTAGATCTTACCTTTGCCCGTATATTACTCTTTTTGAATTTAGCCAACCCTGACATATGGGGGTGATTTGAGGTATGAGGTATCTCGTATAGCGAATGAAGTGGTATGCAGAACAATAGAAAACAAGTCACAATAGATGTTGGAAGGTGTATTTACACTTGTTTCCTACTTCCTAGCTCTTCCTTTGTATCCATGGTCTCTTCTTGCCTTCTTCGAGCTGTAAATGAGCCATGAGGCCAAGTAGACGTTTTCGTGATAAACTATACCGGGTCTATCGAGGTATAAAGCGTTTCATATACCGCATTAAGGGCCATTTAATACAAAGGTATTGTGTCGTATATTACTATTGTGATTGAATACAGCTCGATAAGTTACATCTCGATAACTTACATCACAGCTCGATAACTTACATCACCCACTAAATGCAATATGAGCTATGATAAATCTTCAAAAAGAGTAATAAACAGGCAAAGGTAAGATCTAGATACGAGCGTTGGACATGGGCAAGAGCCGTGGGGTAGTAAAGAAACGGTAATGATTATGTTGGTTTGCAATCCGGATGTTGTGAAGTAAAAAGACAGGTTCTTCAGTTCTTGCCGCAGAATATTTGGGGGTCATGATGATCAGCTCGGGATCAATGTGGGACGGATCGAAGAACATTAAAATGAGCGAGTTGACATTTTAGGCTTTCTGATGTTTTCTTGCCTTCTTCGAGCTGTCAATGAGCCATGAGGACAAGTAGAAGTTTTCGTGATACAGTAAAACCTCTCTATACCGGCCTTTCGCGGGAGAAACGAGAAGTGTACGGTATAGTCTATAGATTTATAGAAACACCCCGATAAAGAGCGTTTCATATACCGCATTAAGGGCCATATGATGTACACGTATTATGTTTTGTTGTGATAGTGTGATTGCAAACAGCTCGATATTATTTACAGACCCATCAAATGCATATGACTCATATTGCATTTGGTGGGTGATGTAATTATTATGAGCTATAATAAATCACATTTATTGCACAACTCGGTCTAATTATTGATGAAAAGAAGAGGTAGATGGTAATCCAGGTAGGCTGGTTCAGATTAGCACGATTGACGGTACAGACTCAGAGATGTTTTATTTGTTACATATTATCGTAGTACAGCAGGCTATCGGCTCGATCTTAAATGTGCCTTTGGTGCAGTTTCTGTAAAAATCGATAAGGATATACTGTAATTAATTATAAAACTCTAATATCCTGTGGTTAACGTTTTTCAGTTTCAGTCCTTTTATCTATTTCGATTTAATAATTCCTGATTACTAAAATCTGCCGAGATTTACTGAACTCCAACTACAAATATATAAGTGATTTTAGTATTCTTGAAAACATAAATTCACGAAGTGTTTTTAAAAAGCATTTTTCTCCACGTTTCATGCAATTTGATAACTTTTGGCGAAAAAAATTTCGAAAATTCGAAAAAATTTTCTAAGTCTCGAAAAAAAAATGTAAGTGAAAAATTTTCGAAGTTTTTCTAAAAACTACTTTTCTCCGTGTTTTAAGCTATTCCAATCATTTTGAGCCAATAAAAAATTTTTTAATTTTTGCTAATTAGCTAATTGATAATTATCCAATTAATTGATTATCTGAGGAAAAAATTGTATCAACAAAAGTTTTTCTTCTTGATAATATGAACACCCTCGTTTAATCTGCAACTTTCTACGATGTTCACAACTAAAGATATTTGACAAACAAGAAAGGTGGTAAAAAGTGGTAAAGTGGCAAAAAGTGGCCTTAAGACACGTGGAAAAGTTTGGAAAAGTTGGTCAGCCATAAAGGACACCTATTAGGACTCAAAAACGTCAAAAATCCTTTGTAAGCTTTGTGTGTCGGCAAATCGATTTTTTCAGACGGATTTCCCTGTACTAAACACGAAAATTTACATTCTGAAATTGGTATAGTGTTCCTTTAACTGTTCCTTCAACTTTCATCGTAGCTTTTTTCAAAATATTCTTCAGTGCCATCAACAAACAGATTTTTTCATTTGACTGAACTGTGCCATATTTGATATTGCCTCTGTATTTTATAGGGAAAATTTTTTAAATCTTGCAAGTTGATGTAATTAAGTTTTAAGTTAACGTATTATAGATATGTTAACACTAGTTTATGTTTCAGTATTTAAATTGTTTCCATTTATAGTTTAACCGATCCCTGTTGTAGAGTTATCAGATCTTTACTTAGGATAAACAATATAATATGAAGTTCGATAATAATATTAATAAACATTAATTGTATTCACTGTTTTCTAGTCATCAAACTTCAGATCAGGAGGTGACCGGGACATGATTTTAGGCCTGACCGGGACCGGGACCGGGATACAAAATGTGACTTGACCGGGACCGGGACTGAGATTATCAATTTACCGTGACCGGGACCGGGACCAATAATTTCTGGGATTTCTATCTTACCGGGACCAGGACCGGGACCAACAATACAATTTTTTCGGGATGACCGGGACCAAAACTGGTATTCTCATATTAAAAGCTGCAACTTTCATTTACATTATAATTGAACAATTTGAATAAGTAATAACTAGAATATTAAATTAGAAAAAACCCGTCAATATGGGGCATGGGCCTAATGTACTACACCAATAATGTTCATGTACTGATTACTCAAGTTCACCCTCATTCCTCAGTCAATGATCCCTCAAATTATTCAACAGTTTCATTCTCCAATTGATAATTGGGCGTAGCCCGAGTTGAAAACTTGATGTTAGTTTGCACTTATGAGTTATGTAACGATATTAGTTACCTAAACTTGTTTAGCAATTTTAAACATTGTTTTATTTGGCTCAGAGGTTGTTTAAAGATGAAATTCACAATGAATGAAAGTAAAAACTGAAAATCACAGTGAATGAAATTATGTAAAAGATCCCGGTCAAAATCCCGGCAAATTTGAGTGATTGACCGGGACCGGGACCAAGAATCCTGGATTAACCGGGACCGGGATCATAAATCAGCATTTGACCGCGACCGGGATGAAAAATGTGACTTGACCCGGTTGACCGGGACCGGGATAACTCAAAATTGCCAATCCCGGTCACCTCCTGCTTCAGATCGGGGTAATATAATGTACAAAATGATACGCTCTCGAATGCACGCTTCCTTTTCCTCACCTTCGCATCTTTGATCTTGTTAAGTAAAACACATAGTAAGGTTCCCCAGAAATGTCCTGTAAACTTGACTTTTTATTTAGGCCGGTAAAAACCCACAACTGACTGAGGTTTCGAAATACAGCCAAGAACTCAGATATGACACAATCAATTTTATGTGTATGAAACAAATTTTCAACTGTCTGGCGGCGATCAGCATGTCATACTGACTAAACTCTAATCGGTTTATGAAAATTACATCCCGGTTAATGAAAAGCGTAGCCTTGAGCTTGGAGTTCCCGCTCCCAGGTAAAATACATACATAAATGAGGACCGCCAAGCAAGGAATGAAGAACGAAATTAAATATTATCTAATCGATTACAAATCTTGCAGATTCCTGAAATTAAATGTAAAATGCAGCTAAACTCGTGCATCTAATAATAATATGACAATATGATAGAATTGTAATAATGCTACGTGCTACGCGCGCTAAAACGATGAATCTAATCTAAATCTAGTAACCATATCAACGCGCAGTAACCATAGTAACGCGCTCGATTCAATTCCAGTATATTGCGGCGAGTGTTTACATCACTAAATTAGCTGTAACTTTGTGTGATTATGGACGATCGTGCTAAATTTAAGGCGCTGTGGCTAAAATCGTCCACTGAACCAACAGGTAAAATTTCAGAGAGATCGTCCCCAGCGCTCATTTTCACCTCGCGAATGATCAGCTCGCAGTGGGTAATATTTAGTTCAAATATTTAAAGTCAAAATAGCCATTTCACTTTTAGATTCACAATGTCAATCCAGCTTAATCTTTTGCATTTCGCCGATTTGCATACGTGGTTGCGAGAAGATGCGCGGCGCGACCTAGTAGTGCATCACGCTAGTACAATTACAACCATTTCACAAAAGTGGTTTTTATTATAATAAATAATTGTACTGTACAAGTGATAAATTAATTTACAAAAAATTAACTTGTAGTGCGATGCGTTACTGTGCTGCGCCGCGCACTCAATGAGGCTTCTCACAGCTAGATCGGCGAAATGCGCTACTGTGCTGCGCCGAGCTGCGATGAATTGACAGCGTCCATTAAGGTAAATAAAGGACACAATTGCTAATAATGCTTCTTTGTGCCTGTTCATTACAATTTAATTAACATTTTGCGGAGTTTACTTTTCCAGACGGCTTTTATTGGAGCGCAGGGTTATTTTGTAGGTTATGCACAAACTGCAGGCCAACATTTTTGTTTTTACATCAGCCGCGCTACCAGGTTGCAGAGTATGTTCAATATTTTAAAGTACCGTTTAACTAAACACCGAGACACAAGGTTTAGGTGTAATTTTGTAAATCACTTTAATGGATGGATGATTTACAATTTAATTGACGATGTCAACCCTTCCAGATCGTTGCTCTGCGAATTAACAGAGCAAGAATGATTTTGGGTCCAAAGAACCATATTTATAACTGTCCATATTTTAACACCTATAATCCCCCCATAATATTACCGACTAAGGTATTAATTTTATCATATTTAATGATGTCGCTAAAATGTCAAAGGAAGTTCGATCTGAGGTTTAGCAGAAGTCACAAGCTTTGTAGAATAATTATGTTAATAAACAATGGATTCATCAGTTTACCTAGACCTAGTGCAGGTTAAAGCTGTTATTAATTTGATCGTGGCACTCAAATCTAAGTCAACTGTATCATATGTGCATGGGTCTTGATGTGTCTAAAATCACGAAGGTTTTGGTCTAGTGCTGTGGCAGAAGACATGGCTATTAAATTAAATTATCATTGTATCTAGTGGGAATCAGAATCCTAAAAACATCTATCTCAGTTGGTTTCGCCTTTAAAATATCTCTACATACAAGCATAAAAGTTATTAAGCAAGCTCAAGATTGGAAGTTAAGAGATTACATGGAGATTTCAGACTTCAGTGTTCACAAACACATAGAACATAAACACATTGAAACCTATTGAAGATATGGTGGAATGACAGTCTGAGCGCCACCCAGTTACTAAGAGTCAGTCTATACTAATAGGCAAGTAGCCCCATAGCCGTGAAGAGCTGGATTATAAAAGGAAGCTAAATCACTAGATATTTTTTATGTGATCCTTCAGTAATATACATGCACTGGAGTGCAGTGACTGTCTCCTAACTCCTAGGGTGCTGTCACTGCTGTCGCTTGTTAGCGGTCATAATGACACTACAAGGGACCGTTCACATATTACACATACAGTAAGCCTAGAGAGCGGGTTTGGTAAAGCTTCTGTAATTTCGATATCATTCACTGTGACTTCCAGATATGGGAGGGAGATTTGAAAAGGTGAAAATCTGGTTTACGAAATATCTAAATTCTAAACGGCCCCCAAACTATATTGAATTATGATGTTAGGATGATTTCTGGGGTGGTGCTTAATTAAATTTTTGCAAGTATTTATTTAAAATATATGCTACTACTTTTATTGTTTAATGAGGAACATAACTCAAACAACTACATTACAGAATGAAGCAATAATGATTATAGAACCACACTATCCACTCATCGAGGATGGGAGAATCTTTTTCGAGGACCATTGCACTAACACAAATTCACTTCAACTGGCCTATGACAATCTCAGCAAGCTTATCGATGAGATAAATTCTAAATTGACTCCTGAAAGCAAATACTTAACTCAAGTCCAGACTGTACAGACTGATTTGAAATCTGAATGTTCCCGTTGCTTGAATTTTAAACGTATTCATGGTTTTGGGTCATCATACAATGGATTTCGAAGCAAAAGCTCTGATATAGATGTTGTTGTAGAATTGGAAGAAGATGGAATTGACAACCAGCTTATCGAGTGTAAGAGAATGATGGAGAGGTCATGTCTATTTAAGTTAAAAGATGTTGTAAGAGGGGCGGTTGTGCCAATAATAACTGTTGAGCACATCAAAACTGGGTTAGACTGTGACATAAGCTTTTCAGTTCCTTCAATCAATAGAACTGATGTTATTTGGAACACAGGCCTCTTGAAATCCTATTCAAAGACTTATCCTGAAATTGCTCAAGCATTTCGATTCTTCAAACACATCTTGAATTTTACAAAGTTTGGAAGTGTTCGAACAGGTGGATTGTCAACTTACGGGCATATAATTCTTTTTATCTATTTCCTAACTCAAAGACGGAATCCCAGGATACCTCTTCTAAACATAACAACTCATCGCCCTGACCCAAATCTAAGTAAACCTAAACTCTGTGCTGCTCAAATCGTTTTGGACTATCTCAAGTTTATTGCATGTCAAATAGATTCCTCAAAGTACTCAGCAGATATCAGAACCAATCAAAATGTTCAAAGACGAAAACAGTACGGATCATTGGGACGATTGTTTATTCAGGACCCATACATTTCAAAAAACTTGGGTAAATTCATGAAAGAACAGAATTTGTATAATTTCAAAGTGCTCTGCAGTCGACTGTTACAGTACATTGTTATTAATGGGAAACCTACAAGACTGTCTCAGTTAGACGACTGGTGTCAAGACTACCATAATCGCTGCAAGAACATGGCTACACCTTCTTTACATTCCAAATGTGGTTAGTCTTTGGTTTTTGTAATCATAGCTTGTAATATAAACCAGAGCAGATTAGAAAATCGCAATGCTTGAAGTTTTGAAGCATTCGCTACAAATAATTGGTATAATTTTTGTACTTTCCAGAACCCCTGTATCAAGGAGCTGCAAATCCAAAAAGAAAGAAAACATCCCCTCCCATGAAGACTGTCATGCAGACTAACGAATTGTTAACATGTACAGTCGAGAGAACACAAAATGGAGTGACTACGACCACAAGCTCAACCGTTAATCAGTTGCTGTGTGAGAGAACTGTCAACGACCAAATCAACCTTGCCTGGTCTGATGTATTGGGTAATTACTCTGTTAATTTAATTTAAAATGGTTATTAAAACCATGATAATTAAGGTCAGATATCCAGATGAATATTGTCTAATTACCCCCAGCCTAACAAGACCACCCCTCACACAGGCACCTCTTTCAACGACGTGACTAGCACAGTGGACACCACCATCCCTAAGCTACAGTGTCTTGTCGTGTTTAGAAGGGAGACGGATGTGGAAAGAGCTGAGTTGTTGTTGGAGCTGATGCCTTGTGCAAGGGAACTTGTTGTTGCAAGTTGCTTGACAAGGCGGAGGGGTGCTCATGTTTACTTCACTACTTACCTCAACTCGGTAAGTTTTTAATTCGGTTCATTTTAAACTAAAAATTCGTGATATTTATCAAATATTTCTGTTAAAACAGCCCTTATCTTCACATCATTGTTAACTTCTGCTTTCAGAGCCCTGTTGCTGATATCTAAACCTTTTAACTACCCAGGTGTCAAAACAAACAGACGTGTCGTCAGTAAAGAGGATTTACATTTACAACCCAACATTCCAACTACCTGTGTCCTTGTGGCAGATACTCCGGGACACTGTGCCAGGCCAGGTTAACTGCTCTTTTCCTTCTCCATCTTATCAACACATTTGTCTGGCTGGTCACTTAAAATCGTGACACTTAGTTCCTACTTCAATGTACTTCATTAAACTTATAATAGTGAATATTCATCCCAACATTTCAGCTCTACTTCCTCATATCACCACCCGAAGTTCCCAACCTAACCTGCGAATACATAGACAAGCTAGCCCGGCTATTCTGCCACCCCTCAGCTGAGTCCACCTACAGGTACACTCTACCTATTGGTGATCTTAAGAAGGCGCTCGTACAGAAGGACGAGAGGTTCAGTGATCTGCCTGGAAACCTGGAGATTCATGAGATAATGTGAGTTTTTTTAAAGAGAAAAGAAATTTCCCCTGTTTTGGTCTGTTAATATGGTGATCATATCATTTACTGCGTAGACAGTAGTATGTAAATTAATATGGGTCATCGTTTATGAAGGTAGGTAATTAGGTTTAAGTTTACCCCAAAAATGAATGGAATTTCTTGATTCGGGCCGGTAACGGGCTACTATATTTTTATATTAACAGGAAACGATGTAACTGAGTCAATATATTTTAATGTTGCCATGGGGTGCAGGTGGCAAGTCCTGAAGTCCCCATACATCGTGGTCCGATAGTTTCATTGCGTCTTAAGATATTAAACGAAATAGTGCTCACGTTATTGCAGACGAATGATTATATTTACAGTACATTTCAGATGTTTATATTTGAAAACATGCTTTACATTGTCGTATGAAAGTAGACGAACAGACCGCAATGAGTGCCCCCCCCCCCCCCCAATAAGCTTATAGTATTACTTGCAGCTAACCTAGTTATGACTTATGTACCAACGCTGCCTATGCAGTAATGGGAGAGAGAGCAATGAGGGAGAAACAGTGAGCCACATTTGTCACTTTTGTTGTACAAAACTATTAATAAAATTACTTACCAACGGCTGATTTAAAAAACATTTGCTTATTGGCTTCGTCACAGTTTTGTCGGCACTATACCGAAAAAAAACCAGTCCCGTAACTCTATTCTCTAACCGTTTTTTAATAAAGCCGCTTGGAAATTTCCCGCACACATACATACACACACACAGATTTATTGAGATTATTGTTTAAGATATTATAGTTAAATCTCATGAGTCAGTATGCAAACAGTTACTGTCACTAGTCGCCACTCATTCGATGACCTGAAGGGCTGAGGATGATCAGAAAAGACACAGTAGTTGAAGAGAAATTGAATCGACAAATTGTTTTGCGGTTGCTCTAGGATCCGCGATGGGCTAAACTCACATATTTGAGGCCAACTCAAATTTAGTTAGAGGACGTTTTGTCGGAATGTGCCACACAGAGAGTAAAGAATTATCGTAGTGCTATCAAAATATTAAATATTTTACTGACTTTTCTTCAGTATACAACTATAGAACCTTTGAATACAATATGTTATAACAACGTTCACACTTCTCCAACAAAATAGAAGTTACCATAGCAACGAACATTCGATGTTGTTGCAAAAGTGAAATAAAAAATTAAAATTAAAGACATCACATCACAAATGTCTACATAATATGTATCATAGCACTATGCAATTAGAAAAGAATATGTTAATCTTACTGCTTACAGATTACAACATTGAAATTCAGCCTTCACTATTTTCTGATATGTTCATTGTTCACGTACAAATTAGTAATAAATTTTTTCTTCTCAGAACCCATCAAGAGCTGAATCCAAGAAATCGTAAACATCCATCATGATAAGTGATCAACTACAATTTAAATGTTGTAGACAAAATGATCTACGACCACAGCTCAGAATATGCAGTTAAGAACTCAATTACCAATCCCAGCCTTCTGTCATTATTGAGGCCGAATACCTTTGAATTATATTTAAAAGGTTATAAACATGAAAAAGTCGATCGGCACTGAAATTGCTAATTACCAGCTAACAAGACACCCTCACACAGCATATTCAAACGTACACAAGAACCTCCACCATCCTAACTCATGTCTTGCGTTAGAGAGACGATTAAGTGGTTTATGGACTCAGTTGTCAAGGGAAATTTGTTCAATCTTAAATGAGGTGCCTTGTTTACTCACACTACCTCAATCGTAAATTAATTCGTTCATTACAACAAGAAATGTGATATGTATCAATAATTGTTAATAACAGCTCCATCTCAACATGTAAACTCTGCTTCAGACCCGGCGTATTAAACCTTTACTACAGTCCAAACAACATTTCATATACAACACAACTTCAAACTGGTCCTTGTGAATATCAGAACGTGCGTCAGTTAGAAACTGCTATTGTCTTTTCCATTTATCAACACATTTGTTCTAGTCACTAATGTGATACCTAATTATAACTTATTAACTATAATATTGATATACAACATTTCAGCTCATCCTATATACCAAGTCCCAGCTAACGAATCACATAACAGTCGTTAATCTGCACCCCTCACAGTCACTAGATCTACTAGGTGATCTAAAAGCGATACATAAAAGGAGAGAGTTCAACCGAAACTGATCAATATGTAGTTTTTTTTAAAACGATAGAATTCCATGAGTGGCTTTAATTGTCCAGATCCATTGCATTTATCGTGGTAGTACATGTATTAATATGGGACGTAGAGGCAGGAATTAGTGTCCCACAATAAAGATGATAATATTCTCACTATCGCCGTAACGCTACTATCATTTTATATTACAGTGAAATCGATGTTAACCATTAGCTCAATTATATTTTAATTCCATGTTGCAGATGAAAGCCTGTAAGTCCAACTAATCGAAATGATCGAATAGTATTGTCTAATATTCGACATTATAATATTAAACAAATAATGTACGTTATTAACAATATTATTTATCGACATTTCAATTTATATTTGAAACAATGCTTAAATTTCATTTCAAATAGAAACAACCGAATATGCCCCCCCCCCCCCCATAAGCTTATAGTATTACTTGAGTAACCTGTTATGACTTATAGTACCAACGTGCTATGCAGTATGAGAGAGCATAGAGAAACATAGCCCTTGTCACTTTGTGTACAAAACTTATAATGACTCCCAACGGCTGATTTAAAAACATTGCTTATTGGCTTCGTACGTTGTCGGCACTATACCAAAAAAAAACCAGTCCGTAACTCTATTTCTAACCGTTTTTTATAAACCGCTTGAATTTCCCCACAATACAACAACACACATTATTGAGATTTTTAAGATATTATAGTTAAATCTCATGATCATAGCAAACATTACTGTCATGTCGCCACTCATTCGATATGAAGGCTGAGGTGACAAAAAGACACAGTATTAAGAGAATTGAATCGACAAATTGTTTTGCGTCTCTAGATCCCATGGAAACTCACATATTTGAGCCAACAAATTATTGAGATTTTGTGAATGTGCCAACGGAGTAAAGAATATCGAGTATCAAAAATAAATATTTTACTGTTTTCTTCAGTATACAACTATAGAACCTTGATAATATGTTATAACAACGTTCACACTCCCACAAAATAGAAGTAAAGCAACGAACATTCGATTTGTTGCAAAATAATAAAAATAAATTAAGACATCAATACAATGTCTACATAATAGTATCAGCACTATGCAAAGAAAAGAAAGTAATCTTACTGCTACAGATTACAACATTGAAATTCAGCCTTCACTATTCTCTGATATGTTCATTGTTCACGTACATGTATGCAGTATAGGGGCATCTGAGCAACTATATCGCGTGATTCTTCTCTACACACGGTAACAGATATTTTAGATAATGTCATTTCAATCAACATTCACCGGAAATTTCTCCGGAACTCTACACCTATTATATATAATAGATTGTTGGGGACGAAAGTTAATTAATGTAGTAAACTTAATTATTGTAATAATTAACGTGAGTAAAACTCATTCCAACTCGATAATAACAACGTCAACAAGACTTTTCTCACACACCAAAATAGCTTGGTATCCCAAGATATTTCGTTATGAGTTGAATATCGTAGTCATAGTGATATAGTGGTCAAACTTCTATATTTAAATGGTATCAATATCTTAAATTCTGATCAATCAGGATTGAACAGTAAGAACCTATTTTTTAATCCCCACCCTTTTTGTGGCTTAATTGAAAACCAGGCCGAATAAATTGTGATATATATAATAACATCTATAAACAAAAGAGCACCTAAAGAGGCTCAGCAAAGTGCTGGCCTATTTACGCTTTCGAAGACTCCTTCGTTCAATATGTCTTAAAGTAAATAAACTCCTCCTACTCTATCTCTTGCTAAGTTCACTAAGTTGGTAAAATCATCTTCGTTTTTCAAATAAATTTGTCTCTTAAATAGGTCCTTTTTCACAATAATATCATACAAATTAGTCCTGGCACCACAGCTTGTCAATGTGATACTGTGTCATATAATGTGTTATGTGTATTCTGCATCACAGTGAGAATATCAAGCTGACTAACAGACTCTTTTCGGCAGTTAAAATGTGGTCAGTCCTGTGACTTGATCCATACAACATTTTAAAACAACTTAAACTGGCATTTTGTGTAAAAATAGAAAGTGGATAAATAAAGAAAACTGTAATTGTTTTGTTATTATTATTAAGACTTATGAACAGTCAAATTGAGTACGTCATGAATTTAAGAGAAACGTATAATTTTAGATATGAACTCTTCAGTCTTCACCTTTATCTGTAAGTCTCATGTCTAATAAGTCTCATACGTCTTTAATGGCTGAAAAAAGAGATTACGAAGTTGATAAAAATTGAATAAATTAATAAGGGAATGTTAACCAGATTGATAATATTGTGTTTGTTTAACCTACGTAGCAATTACATTGAAAGGGAGTTTAATTGTCCCCTGAGATCATGGCATATTGTGCATTTTTCTTTTTTGTGTGTTTGATATCATTTAATCAGTGGACGGGCCGCACTTATCTCTGGGCCCTACTAATCATAATTTTAGGGACTGATTAATTAGTGCTCACGTTATCGCCGATACATGATCAGATTTACTATGTATTTCAGGTGTCCCATGACCAAAATTTCGATCTTTTTAATCCAATTTAGCTTCAAATTCATATTTTATTACTTTGACTTAGACAAATGAAACGACTGTTAAGAATCGAACTAATCGAAATGAAAATCGAAACATAAAGGATTGATTAGATTTCAGGCCAAGATATAATAATGAAAATATAACTTGTAGTTAGTACTTATTAGATTGGTCAATGGACCCTTTTATTATTATTTATACGAAGGTTGCTTATAATGTTCCATTTCAACATAGAAATATCGTGAAAATGCCGGTCCCGGTCCCGGCCGGGATTAAGCCGGGACAAATATCCGATCCCGGTCGACCCCTGCCTATGAGTATAGTCAAAGTGAGTTCTTACTCGTACAATGTACATACTTCGTAAGAACATTAGAAATGGGAATAATCTTTGTTATTGTTAAGTATATGCTGCTCGATTTATCTTTGGTCTTTACGGAAAAAAGATACGTAAACCTATCATGCCTTACTACCTGTTAGGTTCAGAATCAAGTTCAAAATATCACTTCTGGTCTTCAAGTGTCTTAATAACATAGCCCCTCAGTACTTACAAGGACACATCAATCTAAGAGTTCAGTACGAAGACAAAGTTCTAGACTAGATGATGACTTTTATTTGTTGAAAGTTCCTCCTGCTCCTCATTTCAGACGAACTGCATTTATGTTTTGTGGACCAAAAATTTGGAATGAACTACCCTACTCAGTGAGATCATTATCATCGGTAGAATGTTTTAAAAATTCCCTTACGGTAAGACGTTTTATTTCCACCTAGCTTTTGATAATACTTCTAATATTTGTCTATAATGTCTGGACTTGAATGACTTAAATGTTCATCTTTGTTGGGTATACTTTTATGTCGAAGCGTGTAATAAATGTAAGAATATTTTTATTTATAAATTAAGCTATTGGCAAGCAGGTGACACGGCAAGTTTGGGTTAAGTTAGCTGGACAACACATTATATTATTAGTCTCCAGTCAGGAACCTGGTTAGTAAAAGTTTTACCCAGTGTCAGTAATTTTAAAGGTATGTACAATTACATGTCCCTAGATACACAACTGTAAGCCTTTGTAATGGTAGTGTGGGGACATTGGGAGAAGGAGTTGTTTTAAAGTTTTAATTGTTATAAAAGTTAAAACAATCTAAAGTTCGACAGTGTACCAGGATATCAGGATATCGGGATATCAGGTTTGTCTGGTTACCTGGTTACCTGTAGGTTACCAGGCACTGTTTCTGATTACATCCCATCTGAAATATCAGTATTGTTAAAGTTAAACCAGTTTAAAATAAAAATGTCGTTAAATTCTTGTAATTATAAGTGTATCAAAGCTGTACTCTTCATAAAACAACAGTAACACACTATTATATTGTGTTTGAGAAAGCTTGTTTTCATTGCTACCTCAAGACTCAAGTTACAGTTAGCTGTTAACAGTGCACTTCATGTTACATCCAACAAGCTAATCACGTGTACAATTACGTGAAATGTGTGTCGCGTGTGTGTAGGTTCACAGGCAATGAGAGTAGTGACATGTAATTAACTTCTCTGTAATCAGATTATCTCATAACAGTACATATAACGTACTGTGCAGTGTGTGTGTTCTGTGCAGTGTGTGTGTACTGTACAGTGTGCGTGTACTGTGCAGTGTGTGCGTGTATTCAGATGACGATACCAGATAAGTTTGCTGAAATGTTATTACTAGCTGCATGCTTGTCAGGTAGAAATGTGCTGCATTGCAAGTGTTTACTTGTACAATGTACAATTTGTACATGTCACACATGAAGGAAGCCTCAATTGAAATATGAAGTACGCAGTGTTGTACACAGTACAACTCACACCTGCTAAAACTATTCTGTATAGCACTATATTCTGTACAATAACTACAGTATTCAGTGGTATTGGTTCTCCCTTGCTGCTGATCTGTGCGGTGGACGTGTATTAGTGCTAGTACGTGTGGAGACTTAGTTCAATAAACAGTGGAGATCGTTTCAAAGTGGTAGTACTGCAATATTATAACATATATTACGTATTATAACGTATTATAACGTATTATTACGTATTATAACGTATTATAACGTATTATTACGTATTATTACATATATTACGTATTATAACGTATTATTACGTATTATTACGTATTATTATTACAACATATTACTTCTAGGGGTCCTACTTCTAATAGTGCACTGTTACAATGTAATGTTGTATGGAGAAGCCTGACGGCCGATGCAGATCATATTGTTATTTTCTTTGAGATAAGAAAGCACTGTATTATATTATAGCAGTGCATGTCATTATGCTAGCACGCTATAAGTGAACAATTCAATATGAGTCAATCTGAATATCATAGGGCTAGTGCAGAGGAAAATGATTGGAAAATAACTCTATATAATATTTATCGCTACAAGAGGCTATGTAGGATTACTTGGACTTTTGCTTTCGTCTTTAGCAGGTCTTTAACATAATAAATGGGGATCCATGAAAAGGTACATTTAGAGGGTTATATGGTGTATCCTAGCAGGAACCCGTCTAACCCTAAAGTGGTGTCAAGACTCAAGAGACTAAAATAATTATTACCTATTTAATTCGCGTTTTTGACACCACTTGGGGGTCCAAATTTTGGGCTCTAAAACTCCTATTTCTTGGCCAATTTTTTATTTTTTCATGCTGATTTGAAGGCCATTAAAGCATTTGACCTAGTCAAAAAAGTTTCAGTTGTATATCTTTTACGGTTTTTGCGGAAAGTCGTGTTAAAGTTGATGCCGTGGTGTCAGTAAAATGGCACGGATAAATAAATATATATATATATTATGATTGGCTACTGGGACACGTCATACACACGGTTGGATTGTTAATTCGGTTAAAATACCTTTACATCCATTATCACCATAATCTCAAATTATTTGTTATATAGTAGTATTGAAAGTATTAAAATATATTATATATCGTCTCGCTTTATATATAGTAAGATGAAGACACTAGTTACAGGGTGAGTGGTGTAGCTAGTCCGGAGTACCCATTATACGGCATCTTGCGGCATCTTGATACAATCTATACTAATAATCTTAAGATGTGTGTTTGTCTGTTCGTTCGCATGTAATTTACAAACGGCTTATATATATATAAACAAAAGTTCTAAAAAACAGATAGTAAACAAAGTAAACATTTCTGTCCCCTAATCTTTCTCAAACAAAAGTCATGCAATTTGCATACTTCTCCATTTAACTCTATTCTGAGCAATTAACGTTAAATAGTCCAAATCACATAAATTATTTAACGATAATTTTCGGACACTAAGGTCGTGTAGAATCAGTGAGAAAAGGTTTGACTGCGGTCTTCCACGCCGCCCTTGAAGCTGTAAGGTGTTGACAGCAAAAACAAGCGACGAATAGGCTGGGCCATCTGTAGGCCCACGCCATAGTTGTTACGGACGTCCTGGACGAACTTTAAAAAGGTGCCGAACTGGACGAATTTTTTAACGAAATAGACGAACTTTAACCGAACTTTAAGATCACTAAGATCACATATGCTATAGATTATTTAGATAACAATGATAAGTTGTGAGCTGTTGCTATAATTGATGCTTAATTGTAATCTGTGAACCAGCTCTGTTTATATTGAAGTACTAGTCATGATCTGTTGTTGATCTAGTTTTTTTTTTCAATACAAGTATGTATAACTATCTAACTGTATCATTTGTTTACAAGTGTAATAGTGATCGCACCTAAGCCATTCATTATAAAATCAAAACATATGCCAAGAAAATTTACGCAACGAATTTTCACGAATTTTCACGAATTTTTAAAAGGTGCCGAACTGGACGAACTTTTCGCATTTCTTCGACGAACTTAACAACTATGGCCCACGCAGTACATGTCCGAGCATCCTCCACCGACTACGAGCCACTTTAGCTGACAATGGTTCACTATTGCAGCGTTTATACAAGTTCTTGTTGGAGATGATGTGAGGGTATTTGTAATTCAAAATTGATCGCAGATGACGTCTGTGAGCAATATCTAGTTTTTCCAATACTGATTTAGGGGCAGCCCAGCAAGATGAATTGTACATTAAAACGGATACTACCAGAGCCTCATACAACAGAAGCCTCTTGCTCAGAGGGATCTTATGGTTCCAAGCTTTCTTGTATTTGTTAAACGCGGCATATCCCAGACATATCCTTCTAGAGATGTCCTCCTTACTACAAAGCATGGAGCCAAGCGTGATACTCTGTCTGGATGCTTGTTCACACTTGTCTTAGCGGGTGCCTTGCGTGACCTCCGTAACAGGCTTGAAACTGCAACGAATAGGCCTAACCCACCTATCACCGATATTGGTCTTCCACTTGACAGTGAGTATGCTGATGATATCGACTTCAATGATGAAGATGAAGACAATTTGAGGGAGCTGTTGCCTATTGCAACAGAAGTCCTTAAAGATTGGAATCTCTTCGTTAACGAAGACAAAACTGATTTCACCCACGGCTTAATCAAGAAAATAAAACGGTAAGAGTTACGGGGCTGGTTTTTTTCGGTATAGTGCTGACAAAACTCTGGCCAAGCCAAATGATTAAGGTTTTTTTTTAAATCGGCCGATGGTAAGTGGTTTAATTGATCATTTTGTGACGCAAATGTGATACTAACGCGAACGTGTCTCGCGAACTCTCCCTCTCTCCTACTCTCCCACTCTCGCTCTCTCCCACTCTCGCTCTCTCTCCCACGCTCGCTCTCTCCCACTCTCGCTCTCTCCCACTCTCGCTCTCTCCCACTCTCGCTCTCTCCCACTCTCGCTCTCTCCCACTCTCGCTCTCTCTCCCACTCTCGCTCTCTCCCACTCTCGCTCTCTCTCCCACTCTCGCTCTCTCCCACTCTCGCTCTCTCTCCCACTCTCGCTCTCTCCCACTCTCGCTCTCTCCCACTATCGCTCTCTCCCACTCTCGCTCTCTCCCACTATCGCTCTCTCCCACTCTCGCTCTCTCCCACTCTCGCTCTCTCCCACTCTCGCTCTCTCTCCCACTCTCGCTCTCTCTCCCACTCTCGCTCTCTCTCCCACTCTCGCTCTCTCTCCCACTCTCGCTCTCTCTCCCACTCTCGCTCTCTCTCCCACTCTCGCTCTCTCTCCCACTCTCGCTCTCTCCCACTCTCGCTTTCTCCCACTCTCGCTCTCTCCCACTCTCGCTCTCTCCCACTCTCGCTCTCTCCCACTCTCGCTCTCTCCCACTCTCGCTCTCTCCCACTCTCGCTCTCTCCCACTCTCGCTCTCTCCCACCTTCGCTCTCTCTCCCACTCTCGCTCTCTCCCACTCTCGCTCTCTCTCCCACTCTCTCTCCCACTCTCGCTCTCTCTCCCACTCTCGCTCTCTCTCCCCCCCTAACAAATTTGCGATATAATTATGTAATTTGTCAGTTCTACGTCGTTTTTCAATTTAGAGGAATAAATGTTACGAAGGGCATTTATTTCTATACAATTTTACGGTCAATGCAATCCCAGCTTTTTTCATGGCCAAGTGACACCAAGCTCAGTAAGTATATCGATTCATGACGATACTGGAAACTTCTGGGGCTTACATGTTATCGTTATGTATCATTTAATTACAGAAGCATGAAGACCTTATAGTCTTCCGTAAGGGCTGCAATCACCTTAGGATTGCAGGTTGCATGTCTAGGTTTTTTCATTATGTCAAGGCGGAAAAGGTGCAGGAGACCACCTACTCCACGATGGCATCTGATACAATACAATACAATACCTCAAGATTGGCTATCAAGTATTACTATAAGATTTATAAGAGGCACTCAGAATTAAATTGCAGTGTGCTTGGACAGAGCGAGTTCGTACTTTCGCACCGTCTTAACTACGAAAATGTAATGTGTGTTTTTAAATATAATAAGCGGGTTTATACAGTTATACTTATGCATTTCAACTCATCAACTGCGATAGTGAAGTCCCGGCCGTAGGCACGGGTTACACTAGTAACATGATTAGGTTATCTAAATGCAATGAGGTGAGCGTGATAGTTGGGATATTTGGGTTTGTTACACACTTCTTTATAATGTTAGGCATCACAAGCCTGCCACGTCCCCACTGCTTTTCAAGTTACACGCTGGACAAAAGGGTTCACAAACATATTGGTTGGTCGTAGGGTCTTTGTTAGGGTAACTAAAGAAATTATCTACACTGATAATCCCAAAAAGTGTGTTCATGTCTGTGTGTGGGAAATATCCGAACGACTAAATCAAGAAAACAGTAAGAGTTATGGGACTGGTTTTTTCGGTATAGTTTCGACAAAACTCTGACGAAGCCAAATGATTAATACTTAAAAAGATTTTTTTTCGAAAAAGTTGACGAATATTTTTACTTGTGTTTGAAGTATTATATCTTGTGTTTGAAGTATAATATCGAAATATTTAAGAGTTTTTCAATAAATTTTCCCATGACTCGCCTGTAGCAGGTTTTGCCCCCCTGCATCGGGCTCTGCCCCTTTGGATCATTGTGGGGCCCAAAATGCCCCATCGGGTGATAAAAACCACGACATATTTCACCCAGATATACGTCATATTTTTAATGATATTGAGTATTGACCTGGGTAGTAACAGAGCAATTAGGAATGTAAGGAATGATGATCTCTGCACACTCGTGTGTACTAATTTTACAGAAAATGCAGGTCATGTTACTGGATATGTACTCATTTATCTAGATTTATTTTATTTCCGTTTAAATATATCCACAGGTACCGAGATATACATTGTACAGTTACCGAGATATACAATGTACATTACTAATTGGTTCCTGTACGATACTTACTAAATTTTTACATGTTTTTTGTTCCTGTACTGTACATTGTACAATGTACACTGTACAGTGTACAGCAGTGGCTTGGTAAGTTACCATTGGTTACCAACAATAATTTAATTGAGAATATCACGAAAAAAAGTTTGCGCCGCGCAGTTAGGAACGTGGGCGACATCTGTGCGTGCGGGCACGAACGTTCGTTCGAATGATGGTCGCAAGCTACCATATACGAAAAAAAACTTCGTTCGCTAACCCTTGTCCTTGTCTTTTTAGTTTTTTGTGCCTTCGGCAGTTCGGCACTTGAGTCATGGATCCGGAAAAATATTGCTGTTAGGAGGGGGGGGGGGGTTGGGTCTTGATTACGGTTGATTACGGAGGGGGGTAAAATTGGGCGGTAAAATATGGTTTACAAAAATATTGGTTAGTGGTAGGTCTTTGTTAAGGTAACTAAAGAAATTATCTACACTGATAATCCCAAAAAGTGTGTTCGTCTGTGTGTGGGAAATTTACGAACGACTAAATCAAGAAAACGGTAAAAGACAGCTAAGAGTTATCTGTTTTTTTTCGGTATAGTTTCGACAAAGCTCTGACGAAGCCAAATAATTAAGGTTTTTTAAATCGGCCGGTGGTAATGGTTTTGATTTATGCTTTTGTGACCCAAATGTGATCGATACTAAAGTGTACAATACCTCATTAGTCATTAGTCATTAAGTATCTTGAACACGGTGGAGATCAACAGTTAAATCTAATCTTATTCATTCGATTTAATACAACAATGTAAGAACTTATATATATGTAGCTTAATATTGGTAGAATATTCTGCTGCTTACACGATAGTTTTTAGTTTCATAATCTTTGGTTAAAAACTGTCATACTTTGTTCGGCAAATATGTGTCTCAACTCGTACACCTCATTGTCAAATTCCAAACGAGTTCTATTTAAACAAATTAAATTAAATTTGTCTGCAAAGCTTAATAATATTAATATTGTATTCTGTATTATAAACATTCCTGTATTTATAATAAATTCCTTAATTTGTAGGATTTTCAGCAGTGAGCATGGTAAAAAATAATACCTCAAAGTGCATTAAAGTGAGATTTACATTAATAACGGAAAACTCACAGTTGGAATGTATTGTTATTTATAACAATAGAATCCAACTGTGAATTTATTTAAACTCTCCACCTGTGTCCCTAAACGAATGACCTGTAGAGTATCTTACTATATATAAAGCGAGACGTCAGACGATATATATAATATATATATTATATGTGTTTATCCGTACCATTTTACTGACACCACGGCATTATCTTTAGCACAACTTTCCGCAAAAACGTTAAAAGACATGTAACAACTTAAAATTTGTTGACTGGTTTAAATTAATGGCCTTCAAATCAGCATGAAAAAATAAAAATTGGCCAAGGAGTAAGAATTTTAGTGCCCAAAATTTGGACCCCCAAGTGGTGTCAAAAACGTGAATTAAATAGGTAATAATTATTTTAGTCTCTTGAGTCTAGACATTACTTTAGGGTTAAACGGGGTCCTGCTAGTAGAGTTAATACTTGGCCTGTGAAGGCAGCTCCACATGCTGGAACTATATCCCCCACCTTACTTTAACTAGACACATTCCCTACTTGTTATCAATTGTAACCGGTTTTACTGAGAATAATTGAGCAAACTGCACACTGCTCTCAATGAAATATTGGTCAGAAATATCTATGTACGGTAAATGTTCTGGACTACGGATTTTGATGTATTTGTGATTCATGGACATTTAAAACAGGCTCACTAGTTATCTACTACCGTACATCAGATATAGCATAACGATTACAGATATAACATAAACAGTGTAGTGCAAACCGTATTTATTTCCTAAAATAGTAACACTGTTACACGGTGCTACCTTCAAATGAGGATAAAAGAAATACTATACAGTGCATATCATCAAATACAATATACTGTTACGTAAGTACTCATGGAATTTAGAAATACGCACTTACGCAATACGCAGGTTGCATTTCACAATAACACAGATTCGTATAAGATCTTTTATCAAAACTTTTAACATACCACTGTTCATTTTAGTTAACAATGGTAACTTGGTAACCAATGGTAACTTACCAAGCCACTGCTGTACTATTACTGTGTACTGTGTATTATAGTTGGTGTGCGGCGCTGAACTGATCGAGTAAATCGTTAATTTCACCATGTACTTATCCCACTAGGCACTAATTGATAGCTTATTACTTCGTGTTAGTATTACTATTTTGCACAGATCCGTGTCAGGTTGCATAAACAATAAACATATGGTTAAATTGAAATATGAATTAACTGGGCGGCGCTTGGCCTGTCACTCCGCCATATCTACATGCTTATAAACAGTAAAGACTGGGGTCCCCAGGTTGTATGGAATATGATAAAATACGCCATCACGGATCGGGAAATTGAGCGGCCATCCACAAATTAAAAGCGGCCGCATTTCTTGTTATAAATTGGTAAAATGGAGTACGCTTGAATTTAATGACAAAAGTCCTTACTTTTGATTATATATCGTGCAACACAAATTAGTTCATGAACAATGTTATATAATAATTTACTCCTTATCTTAACTGATTTTCCGGGTAGTGCCTAGTTTTCATTAAAAATTTTAACACTGTTAAAAACTTTTTAATTAAAACTAGGCACTACCCGGAAAATCGGTTAAGATAAGGAGTAAATTATTATATTCAAGATTGTTCATGAACTAATTTTTGTTGCACGATGTATAATCAAAAGTAAGGACTTTTGGGCAATTCCACCGTGACGGACATCACGATTTTGCTATTTTTAAAAGTTCAAACGAATGTTGTGCTCAGGAACCTGGAACAGGTTTAACTGTTTATTAGTCCACATTTAACCTTTCTCTCTTTCTACAAGTTGTGTGAACATTTCAGACCCCCACCATTATTACTTTCTGAGATAGCACCCCTGTGAAACTGTGACGGAACATAAATATTAAATATGACACTTTATCTTAGTGTCTACTCAGATGGTACCCAAATCTATAGGGATTACGGGTGGAAGATGAATCATTAAAATTCCAGTTACAGCATCTTGTTCCCTTCATTGTGCTGATTCCGGGAAGCATTCTCTTTACGCCCTCATCATACTGTAGAATGAGATATCGTTCATTAAAAATTGAGTAATCTAGGCCTGTCAAGGATTGCAGCCTAATTAAGAGCTGATCAGTTGCAGCTACTTGTACCATATAAGGGATAACTGAGGTCACGTGACCGCTAATCCTATCACGTATAATGTAATGTTAACTCTAAATGTAAGGCACAATTTAATGGTAACTCAAATTGTAAAATACAAGGTAATATTAACTATAATTATATCATATATTTTTGAATGATTTCTTGTTATTCTGGGAATAATATCTTGTCCACTGTGATAATGTTCAATTGAACAGTGCACTTTTACATATTCGCCGACCGTCACTAAATTATGTCTCCCAATTAAATTTCATAAATCAGTGCCTAGTGGGATACGTACATTGTGAAATTAACGATTTACTTGATCAGTTCAGCGCCACGCGCCAACAATAATGTCATTTAGAATATCGTGCAAAATAACTTTGGTAAGCTAGGAGCATGGGCGACAACTGTGTCCGTGGGTAACCCTCGTACGTTACTACGGGCTGTAATCGGGTTGTTAGGTCATCACTCTTATCACTCTCACATTCTTAAACTGATTTATTTTCAGAAGTTGAAGCAAGTGCTGGGTGAAAGGATGAACATGCTCGTAAAGGTAACTACAGATAGCTGAATTTCATTTAGTGAGGCAAGGCAATTATAGGTTTAAAACATGTGAATTATAGAGTGATTATAATTTATCAGAAGTTTTTCGATCCCTCTCGAAAAAAACCAATTTTGTTGTACCGGTTTTCTCTGTATATACCCAATTCAAAACATTCCGATACCCAAGAATTACTCCGAGTGAAGGAATATCTGGGATTATATCCGTCCAGAGCTAAGAACCGGTTGTGACAGTGGTGCCATGCTCCATTTGTTTTGGAACAGAGCTACTTTACATAATATTCAGTATGTATACGTGTCGGCGGTTTTCATAAAATGTTTGGTGTGTCAAGAAACTGGTGTGTCAGGAAACTGGTGTGTCAGGAAACTGGTGTGTCAAGAAAAATAAAATATTACATATTTAATAATATAGATTAATAATGGTAATACCTCAATAATCTGCAAATAACAAGATGGGGGCAAAATTCACATTTCACATTCGCCACAAAAACTGTTAGAGATAGTATTATGGCAATGGGACGGATAATCTGTGCAAGTTTGAAGTGATATCTCAAATTTGGCACAAAGAAATTCGCCCAAACTTGCACAGATTATCAGTCTTATGGCCATATAACTATATGGAAAGTTTCAAATAAATCATATATTAGGATCTGGATAAAATCGAAAATATACTCTAAGTTATTTACTGAAACACTAGATTTTCGATCATTTTATGTGGTACAGTTTTGTAGAAAGTCCTTCTGAACTGTTGTGTTTGGGTGGATTAGTGAGTAACGCGCATTGCTTGTAACCTGATTGTATGCATTCAAAATGCGCGCGCGTATATATTGCGCGGCCCAATCACTGTACGTATCACAGTGGAAAATGTTGGCCATTTCGCAGATTTTATTTTTGCAGCGATAATCGCACTCCCTCGCGATTATCGCGCGATAATCGACTCCTTGTGCGATTATCGCCTCATTTTGCGATTATCGCGCGGTTATCGCCTCATTTTGCGATTATCGCCCCCCCCCTTGTGCGATAATCGCCTCATTATGCGATTATCGTGCGATTGTCGCCTCAATTTGCGATTATCGCAGTATATAACGAGAACCTAGCTGCCACATCTACAGATCTACTGGAGCCATTTCAGATTTTCAGTGGTAACATAAGTTTATAATTAAAGTTAAAAGATTAACAGCAGTCGAATATTTAGAGTTGACAAATTGACAAAATGCTGCGTTGACAAAATGGCTACGTCAAATGATCAAATAGTTACTCTATATGATTCAATTGTAAGCCCACATAATTTAATTTTGGTCAACGTTGATTAGCGGGTTTTCATCTTTAAGTTAATATATGATTCATCTCATGTTCGTTGACTAATTTACCTATTTCTAGCTAGAATCCAGAATTCTTCCAAAATATCGAGAGCTCAGATTAGACTGAGAGGGGACTTTTTGTTGTGACTTCCCTAGTCACCGCTTATTGTGCGGCCGGGCGCGTCATGCCCGAACCTCGACAGCCATCATCCCGAACCGTTTATATTATCTGACAGCCGCTTTCAAATGTGTTTAACTTAACGATTAGATTTATATTTTTAGAATACTTTTCCGTTAGGCTTATAGCATGTGATCACCTCTAGGGCTCAGGTTACCATTTTGACAGTTAATTCAATGCTCATAGTATGTCCTGGCCTTATCGTTTAACTTAGATCTGATTGCTTGTGACGAGATGATGTATTTCGTTTGTCTCTATCCATCCCGGTTACGAGGCCTATCGAGCTGGAACTGTTACTTAAGGGTGCCCCAGTGAGGCACACTTTATATATATAATAATGATAACATATACACTAATTTGATCCATCGGATATTAATATTCACGTCTAAGTATTACTGCTATGAGTATGACATAGTGTATTCCTGCTCGCATCAGAGTTATTTCCGATGTCATCCCAATTCAGTTATCTAAGGTCTAATTTTTACCGGAGAAATTGTCAGCTCAATCGTTATCTTCGATTCAAGTGATTCCTTGCGCTCAAAATTGTCCCGCACTCGTCAAATTACATCCTCTGAGAATTATGGCGAAGTGGACAAAATTGAATCACCCTCGCGCGGCGACAAAAACTTGCGTGATGCGCGGTTTCAGTCGCAGTCACTACTATAACGAAAAAATTTTAATGGCAAAACATAAGCGGCGTTTTACATAATATGTGGCGAATATCATTATTGATCAAGTAGAAAATATGAACAGAGGGTGAAGCATCACCAAATTAACAATCTTTCAATTTTAGGCATATAGCAGATTGTCCCAAACACTAAATCCATCATGATTGACCCATTTCAGTCACACAGCTTGGATTTCACTTTCAACAGGTATTTCCGTGTTGCTAGCTCGCACTTTTTCACAACTCGGTCTTCGTCATTACGAACATGGTCTGAAAATTTATGTTGCTTACATTTCTGTATTAAAGTGGTGGTCGTCCACATATTATGTACTCCCCCTCACCTTCGATGGTTAAGTAATATATGAACGACCCCTTACACACTACTATTCAACGTGTGGAAATCAAAATTTGATCTCAAACTCAATTAATTCTAAAAGCCCAAGTTATTTCTTACTTGTCATGTGTTCGTGATTCTTAAAAAGGGAGTGAGTACTCTCACCACCTTGCTCATTGAAAGATCCAGAAAACATCCCCCAGAGCTGTATCTGCTCCAAAAAGTGGTCTTCAAGGAGATGTATCTGGTGGAGGTGGTGTTGAAATGATGTTGCAATTTTAAGAGTTCGGTTGGGCCGGAGTTTCTTATAAATATGTCATGAAAATAACTTTCTTCCAGGCTATTTAGGGGTTGGAGACAACAGGTAAAGCTATAAGAGATAACAACAATACCTTCACCGATGTGGACTGACCAAACTTTCGGTACTCTGCCAAGAAGAGGTCCCTGGCCTTGACAAGAGTTTCGATCTCACGGGGACTCTTCACTTTCCCACTTTTGCCACCGAGAACTAAGAGATCTCTATACGAGGACTTAATGCGATCCAGTGCAAGGAGCCGTTGCTGAAAGTGCAGCTTGTCCTGTGGTCTTATCTTCCTGTCAACACAGAATCGGTCAGTCACAGAAGCTCGTTATCAATACAGAATTTTAGCCTTCAATCACAAGTAAAAAGTGGTAGTTATTTCACTATAAACGACAACCATTAGTAACATGAGTTAAATCGCACTGATCTCACAGAACTTACTCGTTTTTATAGAAGTGGTCTGTCCAAAATTGAGTGTGATTGGCTTTAACCAAATATCCTGCTCTCACGCCGGTCAGGGACACACCATGGTATGCCTCAGGAGTGACATTGATGCCCCTCAAATATTGCTCATACTTCGAGGAAAGGGGCCCACTGTTGCACTTCGAGGCCACACGGTTACCTAAAATGTACAGTGCCACACTTATTTTCTTCAACTCATTATATATCAGTTTGCAAAGCCTCCAATTTTTCAATAATGAAGTGATACATTCATCGATGAATCTACATTACCTTGTTCGATGCGCAGAATCATGGCTCCAAAGTCTGTCGTACTGCTGTAGCTGTTGGGAAGAAACCCGTCTGCCACATTGCAAGCGAGTACAAAGTCTATCTCCTCGCACAGTTTACCGTACTCTGTCCACAGAAAAGTCCCGACTTTGATGTTCTAAAGGAAGTATCAAGAGTCATGACAATCAGTCAAATAATTCTAGTACCTAGTTCTATTTGCCACATATCAGGAACAGCATGAGCGGTGTTCGAATAAAAAACTGTGAGCTTCGATCACTTACTATGTGCAAGAACGGAACAGCGACCCAGTTTATGAGATAATCAGAATCCTCCCCGAAACAGTCTGTGATGGGTCGTGAAGCAACATTCATAAACTGGGCTTGGGATCTCGGGTTACACTGAGTCATTCTGATGTGGAAAAACTCGATACTAACAGTTTACAGAAATGGTATACATCTATCGAAATACATACATGGTATACAATATACATCGAGATAAATGTTTGTACTTTGTGAAATGAAGGAGCTGCAATCAGCGAGTTAATGACTGGTATTATAAGTTTATAAGTACCTCATATTAGCATCAAAGTTCTGCATAATTCCCGCAAAAGTTCGGGGCTTGCAGAGAGCTCTCTGGCTTCTGGGTACTTGCATCAGGTCTTTATGTACCTCGCACAGTGGACAGGGGAACGTCCCATTGCTGCCCATACCCAGCATAGCCCACAGTGCCTTTGTGTCTGCACAGAGAATCATCTTCACATGTGCTCCACAGAAGACAAAGTTCTTGAGCTGTGGTAGGTCCCGGTTAACCACCTGTAATGTTATCTGTCTCATGCCTGTCCAGTTTTTAAAGTGTAAGCTGTTAATACAAATAAGCTCAAGTTGAAGTCTAGATTTCATGAAGAAATACCTTAAATATGACCTCCATGTTCCTGCGATGGTCCGGAGCTTCGGTGTACACCAGCATTGGGTGGGCATACGAGCTGTTACACGAAGGCTGGTTTAGCACATTGACTGCCACTTTAGTGGAGCTCGTGTCTGCGTCTACAAACAGCTTAACATGTATAGTTTTGTCAGTTCCCACATCTAACTGGCCTGGAATATATAGAATTCAGCTGGCTGTTAATGAACTATGTGATAAAAACCGCTAAAAGAACTGCCCACCTTGACCTATTTAAATCAAATTAATTTTTTGTAAACAGCTCTATAATCTCTAGAAATTTGAAATACCGGTATTCTTCAAGGTTATAAGTGTTTTGGTTAGCAGTTCCTGTCCATCACAGTAGGCTACTGGGGTACGTCTTGCTAACAGCTCACCACTTTTAGTTTCATTTTTATCATGTGCTGCAGCTTTATGGGAAAGAGAAACCATTGCACTCATATAGTTCACCTTAAAACATGAATGATGTTAATTTTTGATGTACAATATATTCTATATTTCAAAATCTGGGTTGTGCTATGCTATATGCTAGTACGCCATGACACCAAAATGATATATAATTGGTTTTGAGTTCAACTGAGCACTCACGGTGTATAATTCTTCCATTGACTTGATTTCCTTCTCTGATTCCATTTTTATATCATATTTTTTTAGCAGTGGCCGCAGGTTGTTTCGTACATTGGCTGTCCCCGTGTTAGCTAAAAATTGAGTCAGCATTTAATTTATTGCGATGAAATCTATTGCACACTAAGAATTAACTTTTCCACCCGCTAAGTTGTAATGATAATGACAATTTGTATCGTTCTTAACAACTTACATTCAGCTTTGAACATAGCAACATGAAGAGCATCAATTCGTTTCTTACAGTCAACGCCAGCCAACGCCTGTACATACTCCCGCTGCTCTTTAGAGAGTGATGTTAACTCCGCAGTTCGGATCCGTTTGGTCACTGATTCGATATCAGAGTCATTAGATTTTGAACAGCTTGACTCAGCCTGCAAATATTCATGTTGATTGAACTAAATTGCCTGTAGGGATTCGTTCAGTTTCAGTATGGCTATGATGGCAAACTGCGGAAGTGATATACAGTTTAACTTATTACCGATAACGTTATTCAGGATACCTGGCTCTCTACTATATCCTTGAAGACATGAGTGTGCTTCCTTTTAACACTGTCAGCAGGAGTTTTTATTTCCTTGTGCGGCTTAATGATAGTGGTGATGAGGAGGGGTTTTCCCTGTGAACCCTTCACCTCAAAGGTTGCTCCCTCTTCAAAGCACTTATCTAGTAACGACCTGCAGGATTACACGGATGATCACCTTCAGATGTTTAATATTCACAAGTTCAGCTCTTAAATATCCTTTTAAAGTGCTACACTCAACCCACTCTGATCCTACTCAAGTTACGACTGATGATGTTTTATAGTCAAAGATGCAGACAGCCTGTGTCTTATTAGTAAATTACCTCAGCACGTGGTGAAAAAGTTTGTCTCCCGGATCGGTATGTTTGATAAAATCAGCCAACAGTGTTTTCTTCATGTGACCGAATGAGAGCAGATGTTCCTTTACCGTACGGTCGGACAATTCATTCTCTTGTTGACAGAGAACACACGGGCAAAGCATTTTGTTACTATAATGTCCGTGAAGGTTAAGTTCTTGAGGCTAAACTTTACTTGAAAACATTTCAAATGTTGGGATGTGATAATTGATGAAATATCGAGAGAGGGGGAAGGGTGAAAAGAAAGCGAGCAAAAAGAATTAAAGAATTATTAGTATAAATCAAGAGGCTTTCATATGAACATATTGGCACGGGTGTAGAGTTGAGCCTGTACGGAACCTAGTAGTTTCAGATCCTTGTTTAACTTGCCGTACAGCAAGGTCATTCACTACTTTAGCCCTGGCGAGGCACATAGCTCACTCTACAACTCCGTGTCAAATGTTTCATATATACCAGCCAAGTTCACAAGATATATCCTTGTGTTTGAGAAGAGCTCGTTAGAACTGCTTCTTTTCCCTTCAGTATCCCACAGTCTATCAAAATTAGTGTCACAAAATTGGTATCATAAAATTAGTTAATAAATTAGTATCACAAATAGAGTTAATGAATTAGTGTCACAAAAAAAAGTTAGTATCACGGAACAAACATCACATAATTTTTCAAAAATTAATAATAAATTCAGTGTATTTACAAGTTTTATAGTTAAACTGAACCTCCCCAACGCTGTCGGAAAATCTCAGTCGCAGTGAGCTTCTTTTGAGAGGCCTTTTTTTTCCTCTCAGCAGCCATGCGGACTCTGGCTTCTATGACAGATTCGGGCCCCCAGTTGTCCGCACTGATACTGAAATTAGAATGAGTGAGGCAGGGACAGGGAGGGAGGGCCAGGGAGGGAGGGCCAGGGAGGGAGAGCCAGGGAGGGAGGGCCAGGGAGGGAGAGCCAGGGAGGGAGAGCCAGGGAGGGAGGGCCAGGGAGGGAGAGCCAGGAGGGGGGTTCACTGCCTAATACCTGGATGCTGCTGAATTAATCCGTGATCGTGGTTGCACAGCACAGACTGGTGTACCGTGACTGGAACGGGACGGTCTGAAATAAATATGGTGTTAAGATTTCATCACAAATGATATAACGCATCGCCAATCTTCATAAGAGTCCTTTCTTATCAATAAAATAACTAGTTGACTTACCAAAACACCACATACATTAACTCATTTACTTTTATGGCTTAAAAATTTACCCTGGCCCATTTGAACTGACGGAGGGAGTTCGCGAGCGAGAGCGGATGGGGTCAGGGGTTCTGATCAGGATACTGCTGCAATATTTAGATGTGTTATATATCAGTTTTAAATTTGACTAAATATTGTTAGCCTGGGTACAAACATATTACATAACCCTGGCAATAACATTACAATGGAATTAAACTGCATACTAAATGACGATTTTCAACCATTTCAAAAACATTGGACACCGGGTCATATTTATTCTGCTATGCTACCTGACGGGTGCTGGGGTCGGAGAGGGTGCTTGGTGGAGGAGGAGATTGGTCCTCATCTCCGCAATTTCCGCCGCCTTTTCGTCCAGGACATGCCGCATGGCATTGGTCACACAATCCTGAATATCACTATTTTAACAGCTTTGTTTCAACAGGGATTCAGTGGATCTCATATCATGACAGATGAAATTTGATTGTTCATATGTGATACAGGTGCAGCTTACCTTGCAGTGCAATGCGTGCAGTGGATCTGTCTGGGTACCAGCAGCAGTAACTGGGGGATGATCCGATGCTGCTCTCTGCTTCACTGCTGCCCCCTTCCTCTTGCATTTCTTGTCAACAGCATATTTCTTATATCGTAGCTGGACCTCCCTCACCCAATCAGAGTGTACGCCACTTTCTGAAATGTATTCATCTCCTTAATGATTAAAGAACGATTTTTACAAAAGATATATCGATCAGAGTTGTCATTTGTTAAGCCATGATGTTTTGCGAGAACTTCTCTAGTTCCTAATAAGAAGTGAGGCAATGGCAAGTGATAAAAACTTATTTACCCTCGATATGGCAGAAACGTGCCACAGCTCGTTTTATTTCGGGAACCGCTTCGAGAGTAGGGAACCTGGCTCTCATGTGCCTGAAGAGTAAAATTTGGGGGGGGGGGGGGGGCCAACCATATTAAAGTATATTAAAGTATATCCCCGGGTCAAAATCGGAAAAAATCCTACATTTTAATATACTTTAATATACCTACAATTAGAAGATTTATATAATTTCACTTACAACTCGTGCAGATTGCAGGTCGAGTCAGCAAAAATGTAGGTAAGAGGAAACAAACAAGTTCGATGTATAATAACTTACAACCAACATCTCCTGCGGAAGCCATCGGAACCAAGTGGTCTTAACTGTCGTGTTACAGTTAACCCTGCGAACATTTCTGTCCTGCTTCCACTCATGTTCTCACTAATGTGATAATCGATATGAACGTGCTTAATTTCGTTCTTTATAACAACAAATGCAATCATTTAATTCGATCGAGCTGTCAAGCAGATTACGGTATTAGGTGAATAGTGTGGCCATTGGTAACGACAATAGACAAGTCACTTGGTGACATGATACCGATTACCGCACGTGTGTAAGTTGTAACATCTTATACACTCTTACAGAGATATATCTATATTCGATCCAAGCACTCTCACTTTTGAAAACTGAAGTCGAAGAAAATATTCTGATCCAGGTCACACTAAGAGGTACAAATCATAACAAGTAAAGTTGGCTGGTAACTAAGCGCTAAGTGAGCGCCCTAGTAGCGCTCGATTCATAATTTGATTTTCGTATAGTTCAAATCCAACAAAAGTGCGCGGCTCACCGCGCGTGTCAAACTTGAAATGCAGTAATGAACTCCGTGTACTATTTGAATATAATATTGATATAATTGCCATCGGCAGACAGAATGAACAATATGTATTGATTCAGATTCTTATTCATGTATAAGATTTATTTCCATAACGGAATTATGAGATAATTTTCGAATTACAAATTGAATAGAAGTTTATGTTTATGGTTTCGGGTTTGTCGTAGGGGCCCAGGGGTCATTCGTAAATAGCGTTTGCGTCCGTTAAACAGGGGGAAGAGGAATGAAATTGGAAATATGAAATGTTGATGCTTGTGTTTACTTTCGCCTTTGAAGGTTATAGTTTGATTGTAAAATGTAATTGTGAGGCCAGGGTCAAACTCAAAATGAAAATGCAGGATCCGCTGCGCGCGGCGTCAGGCACAAGGTTTAATATATATATCAAATATAATATTTTTTATTGCTGTTCAACCATAATTTTGATTCAGTGCAGTGTTGAATGTTGATGCAGTATATGACTCACAGTATGTCAAAATTAACTCATCATTTCACTATTGCATTATCATCGCAGATTTTAGCGATTATCACTATTTAATGGCGATTATCGTGCATTTAGCGATAATCGCCAATGTTAGGCGATAATCGTGCGCAATAATCGCATGTTAGGCGATAAACACGCGATAATCGCATATTGGGCGATAAACACGCGATAATTGCATTATCGCTTTTATGCAAGAATAAAATCCAGATATTTTCCACTGTGGTATCTGCACAGTGGAAAATGTTGGCCATTTCGCAGATTTTATTTTTGCAGCGATAATCGCACTCCCTCGCGATTATCGCGCGATAATCGACTCCTTGTGCGATTATCGCCTCATTTTGCGATTATCGCGCGGTTATCGCCTCATTTTGCGATTATCGCCCCCCCTTGTGCGATAATCGCCTCATTATGCGATTATCGTGCGATTGTCGCCTCAATTTGCGATTATCGCAGTATATAACGAGAACCTAGCTGCCACATCTACAGATCTACTGGAGCCATTTCAGATTTTCAGTGGTAACATAAGTTTATAATTAAAGTTAAAAGATTAACAGCAGTCGAATATTTAGAGTTGACAAATTGACAAAATGCTGCGTTGACAAAATGGCTACGTCAAATGATCAAATAGTTACTCTATATGATTCAATTGTAAGCCCACATAATTTAATTTTGGTCAACGTTGATTAGCGGGTTTTCATCTTTAAGTTAATATATGATTCATCTCATGTTCGTTGACTAATTTACCTATTTCTAGCTAGAATCCAGAATTCTTCCAAAATATCGAGAGCTCAGATTAGACTGAGAGGGGACTTTTTGTTGTGACTTCCCTAGTCACCGCTTATTGTGCGGCCGGGCGCGTCATGCCCGAACCTCGACAGCCATCATCCCGAACCGTTTATATTATCTGACAGCCGCTTTCAAATGTGTTTAACTTAACGATTAGATTTATATTTTTAGAATACTTTTCCGTTAGGCTTATAGCATGTGATCACCTCTAGGGCTCAGGTTACCATTTTGACAGTTAATTCAATGCTCATAGTATGTCCTGGCCTTATCGTTTAACTTAGATCTGATTGCTTGTGACGAGATGATGTATTTCGTTTGTCTCTATCCATCCCGGTTACGAGGCCTATCGAGCTGGAACTGTTACTTAAGGGTGCCCCAGTGAGGCACACTTTATATATATAATAATGATAACATATACACTAATTTGATCCATCGGATATTAATATTCACGTCTAAGTATTACTGCTATGAGTATGACATAGTGTATTCCTGCTCGCATCAGAGTTATTTCCGATGTCATCCCAATTCAGTTATCTAAGGTCTAATTTTTACCGGAGAAATTGTCAGCTCAATCGTTATCTTCGATTCAAGTGATTCCTTGCGCTCAAAATTGTCCCGCACACGTCAAATTACATCCTCTGAGAATTATGGCGAAGTGGACAAAATTGAATCACCCTCGCGCGGCGACAAAAACTTGCGTGATGCGCGGTTTCAGTCGCAGTCACTACTATAACGAAAAAATTTTAATGGCAAAACATAAGCGGCGTTTTACATAATATGTGGCGAATATCATTATTGATCAAGTAGAAAATATGAACAGAGGGTGAAGCATCACCAAATTAACAATCTTTCAATTTTAGGCATATAGCAGATTGTCCCAAACACTAAATCCATCATGATTGACCCATTTCAGTCACACAGCTTGGATTTCACTTTCAACAGGTATTTCCGTGTTGCTAGCTCGCACTTTTTCACAACTCGGTCTTCGTCATTACGAACATGGTCTGAAAATTTATGTTGCTTACATTTCTGTATTAAAGTGGTGGTCGTCCACATATTATGTACTCCCCCTCACCTTCGATGGTTAAGTAATATATGAACGACCCCTTACACACTACTATTCAACGTGTGGAAATCAAAATTTGATCTCAAACTCAATTAATTCTAAAAGCCCAAGTTATTTCTTACTTGTCATGTGTTCGTGATTCTTAAAAAGGGAGTGAGTACTCTCACCACCTTGCTCATTGAAAGATCCAGAAAACATCCCCCAGAGCTGTATCTGCTCCAAAAAGTGGTCTTCAAGGAGATGTATCTGGTGGAGGTGGTGTTGAAATGATGTTGCAATTTTAAGAGTTCGGTTGGGCCGGAGTTTCTTATAAATATGTCATGAAAATAACTTTCTTCCAGGCTATTTAGGGGTTGGAGACAACAGGTAAAGCTATAAGAGATAACAACAATACCTTCACCGATGTGGACTGACCAAACTTTCGGTAGTGAGGCAATGGCAAGTGATAAAAACTTATTTACCCTCGATATGGCAGAAACGTGCCACAGCTCGTTTTATTTCGGGAACCGCTTCGAGAGTAGGGAACCTGGCTCTCATGTGCCTGAAGAGTAAAATTTGGGGGGGGGGGGGGGGGGGGGCCAACCATATTAAAGTATATTAAAGTATATCCCCGGGTCAAAATCGGAAAAAATCCTACATTTTAATATACTTTAATATACCTACAATTAGAAGATTTATATAATTTCACTTACAACTCGTGCAGATTGCAGGTCGAGTCAGCAAAAATGTAGGTAAGAGGAAACAAACAAGTTCGATGTATAATAACTTACAACCAACATCTCCTGCGGAAGCCATCGGAACCAAGTGGTCTTAACTGTCGTGTTACAGTTAACCCTGCGAACATTTCTGTCCTGCTTCCACTCATGTTCTCACTAATGTGATAATCGATATGAACGTGCTTAATTTCGTTCTTTATAACAACAAATGCAATCATTTAATTCGATCGAGCTGTCAAGCAGATTACGGTATTAGGTGAATAGTGTGGCCATTGGTAACGACAATAGACAAGTCACTTGGTGACATGATACCGATTACCGCACGTGTGTAAGTTGTAACATCTTATACACTCTTACAGAGATATATCTATATTCGATCCAAGCACTCTCACTTTTGAAAACTGAAGTCGAAGAAAATATTCTGATCCAGGTCACACTAAGAGGTACAAATCATAACAAGTAAAGTTGGCTGGTAACTAAGCGCTAAGTGAGCGCCCTAGTAGCGCTCGATTCATAATTTGATTTTCGTATAGTTCAAATCCAACAAAAGTGCGCGGCTCACCGCGCGTGTCAAACTTGAAATGCAGTAATGAACTCCGTGTACTATTTGAATATAATATTGATATAATTGCCATCGGCAGACAGAATGACCAATATGTATTGATTCAGATTCTTATTCATGTATAAGATTTATTTCCATAACGGAATTATGAGATAATTTTCGAATTACAAATTGAATAGAAGTTTATGTTTATGGTTTCGGGTTTGTCGTAGGGGCCCAGGGGTCATTCGTAAATAGCGTTTGCGTCCGTTAAACAGGGGGAAGAGGAATGAAATTGGAAATATGAAATGTTGATGCTTGTGTTTACTTTCGCCTTTGAAGGTTATAGTTTGATTGTAAAATGTAATTGTGAGGCCAGGGTCAAACTCAAAATGAAAATGCAGGATCCGCTGCGCGCGGCGTCAGGCACAAGGTTTAATATATATATCAAATATAATATTTTTTATTGCTGTTCAACCATAATTTTGATTCAGTGCAGTGTTGAATGTTGATGCAGTATATGACTCACAGTATGTCAAAATTAACTCATCATTTCACAATTGCATTATCATCGCAGATTTTAGCGATTATCACTATTTAATGGCGATTATCGTGCATTTAGCGATAATCGCCAATGTTAGGCGATAATCGTGCGCAATAATCGCATGTTAGGCGATAAACACGCGATAATCGCATATTGGGCGATAAACACGCGATAATTGCATTATCGCTTTTATGCAAGAATAAAATCCAGATATTTTCCACTGTGTCTGCACTATGCCATGTGCCGAATAATAACAATAAATGAGTTGTTACTTCTATTCATTGCGGTTCTAGAATACACTTTTTATTTACAGAAAGGAATAATGATATCAATGAATAACTTTTTCAGTGGATACAGCGAGAAGTTTTACAATGGAGACGCAGAAGTTACGCACTAAAACTGAGTGCTGTATCGAATATTATGGATAATGTACAGTAACTGACGAGAACCGTGACCTTTAGTAGTATTTACTGACTTACAGTCGAACCATTTCTGTTGAATTCGGCTTTTTTAGCTGCAATATCCCCTATGCTCCCAGCCTCCGATTTCGTCGAAGAAGCCTTTAAGATAATATCGATATCCGATATTTGGATATGTTCAAAACTTAAAATATTTCGCTAAATTCTTACCACACAATTCGACCTTTTTGTTCAACCGGAGATGTGATTAAATTTGTTTAAATTGGAGTTTTAGATTTCAATACCCTCCCGGCAGTTCTACGGGGGTTTTGTAAGTAATCAAGTAACTTTGTTATTATATGGGTTAGACAAGTTTAAAAGCGTAGTTAAGTACCTTAAAAATTACAAATTTTACTAATACTATATTAATCGGCTATTAGCCTACATTTTCAACGCTACTATGTAGTTGCTTATTTCTACGTGGTCTAATTATTTATTACTTCATTTCTGACCACTCTGTCTGGTAAAGTGTAAAGTGAATCATAACAGTTGACCATACCTAATTTTAGCTAAGTTGCAGTTGTAGGGGGGAATGTAATAATATGTGAACAGCGTTTATAATTGGTAGGAAACTGGACAGAGTGGTCTGACGAAAGTTTTAGGACTCTTACTAATTCGCTCGCCCAAAAATTATCACGTGACTTTGGTTCTTTAATTGTTTTGCAGCCGAACAATACGGTTTTACATAAACCTTAATCCTAACCCTAACCCCGAAGCTATCCATAACCCTAACCACAACCCTAACCCGAGCTCTAAACAATCGAATCCGTATTTTACTAGACTGTCACGTGACCAAAATGGTTTTTTGCCCATAACTCTCCAGGGAAGCATTTTTACCCTACGTCATGGGGGGGGGGGGGGGGGGGGGGGGTGATTCGGAATCAGCGTCCAAAAATACACAGAATTAGGCTTGTTTCACATCTTCAGGGCCTTTTCACAATAATTTTTAAACATTTGGGCGAGCGATTTAGTGGTAGCGAAGTTTTAGTGTAGACCTGCATGCTGTGCGCACGACTCTTTACGGCATGTTTTAAATTGTTTCGAGTTGACGCCTTTATAAGAAAAATGTATGAACAACGAATGTGGTGAACCGCCTCTTTTAGCTCAAAAGAGAATGCTAAAATAACAATTTATCAACAATATAGTGGATTCCACTATATTGTTGATAAATTGTTCGTTCAATAAAAAGTATTGTGTTACGGTATTCGTTCAAATATTGTGTTATTAATGTTGTAAAAATAAACCTTATATTTAATAGATTTATCGAGTAAATATAACACTGTTTTCTTTGTAACCCTGCCTGAAATGACATCTGAACCACCAATCCTTGTTATGTTCTATAATAGCGGAGGTAACTTATGAGAAATAGCGTACCTGTAGCGGCAAGAGGAAGTGGGAAACTGCTAGAGCTTGACAGTAGAATTACCTGATTTTTAGTAATACGTGTTTTATATGGAAGAAGGTTCGTGCTACAAAAGGCCACTCTTACAATTCAGAAAATGCTCATTTACAGTAATATTTCTGTTTTTGAGAGGAAGACCACAAGTTGAACTTTTTAATTTGTACGGTCTGTACACTTAATATGTGACATATATTATATGTCTAACCTTTACATATGCTTGTAAACTTCAAGTTCATCTCAACGTCACCATAGCATGTACATGATGGCTAAACTTAAGCTACTCAACTAAAGTTTAGTAACAGTCTCTGAGTTAAACACGCCGTCACTCTTTCTTTTAGAACTTGTGTCATGTTTTTTGTCAGCTGTTTTTTTCGTGATTTTTACAAACTGTTTGCTCCTTAACAATAACACGTCTCCTCGAAATCATGCTATTACCACCATGCGAAAATTCCCCAAAACCACCCCTTTCCCAGGATTCTAGTTATATATGTACATGTTACAATAATAATGTTCAACACATAAATAAAACCATTTATTCCGAGTTAGCGCCAGCATGCCTAAAATAGCGGCATTAACATTAAGCTGTTGAGTCTCACAGGTAGCTAGTGGTTCTGTTAGACCACTAGCTTATAATGGCCATTATACGCGCTCTGTTTCCGGTACGTTGTCTACTAAGTCCACTTCCTCACAACTACTGCTATTCTAGTACTATTATAGTAGTACTACGGCGCGTAGTAGCTGTTCTGCTGTTATTAGAGTTGTCGGTGTGTTTGTAGTTGCAGTACTTAGAGGTGTATATTAGGATCCTGTCCTATTAGCTCTGCGTTAAGGCTCCCACTTTAGCCGCTCCCACTTTAGCCGCTTGCATATAGGCCGTTTAATTGACGGTCTTGTCGTTTTGTAATAAGTGTTTTATTCATGTAGGAGTTATATTGATTACTTGATTTCATATAACAATCTTCTGCATTGTAATACAAATCATGTTATCAATATCGAAGCCACGTTAAGATGCAGAAAATGACGTTGGCCATACTTCCTTTTTTAATTTGGGCGATCCTTGATCGAAATCCCGTTCACTATCTTCTTCCAATCTTCTCGATCGTACATAGCAGAACGGAAATCGTCAACTACACGGGCCGGCATCTTTATAAAAATCTGTATAATTACAGAATCTACAAATGTTAGTGGCCTCCTTCCGCGACGGGACTGGAGGTTACCAAACGATCGCTACTAAAGTTTAAACTTAAATAAGTTCTCTAAAAGTAAGCAGAATATCGTGCTTCATTAAAGTAGTGTATAAATAGGAGGTGCACGATAAAAATAAACTTGCTCGGATTTTAAAAATTTTTGTACCACTGTTTTCTAGAGACTGTGAGAATTTTCACAATACCAAATTTGTCATACCTTTTTGGAAAGATCAGTGAGTATCGCCTAGGTGCCATATTTGATGGCGCGCGGCTTTTGGAGCAAAAGTAGCTGTAAAAGTCGCGTAATTTGACCAAATTCGTCCAAATTTGACCATTTTTGTCGTATTATTCGGATTTATCTTCAGTTCCTTAAATGAGATCATTCTGGAAATTGGCGACAACCTTTCAATAAGGCTTTCACAACTGTCCGAAAAATTTGGTGGATATCGGAGTTGATATAGTGATCAAAATGGAGCAAAATACGCTGCTTTTAGCTGTAACATAATGTCTGATGGTTGGATATGCTTTAAATTTTTCGGACACTTTCCTTGTAAGTCTATAAGTAAGCTTACCAATTTTTACTGCAATTGGAGGTCGGGAAGGATACTCAATATCTATTTGTTTGAAGAAAATTGTGCTGGCCGAAATTAGCGCTAAAAAACCATCCTACAGTCGGCACGCGCGGCTCACTGTCGATGGCGCACTACCTAGTATAAATGTGGCCATTCCGGACATTTTTTCCCCCTTGTTAATTTCTTTTTACTTTTAGACTCTATCTGAAGTCTTTTTTTGAAAATCTGGGTCATTTCCTCAGGGTCAACGTTATGATAAACCAAATTTTCATATCTTTGGTTCGATGCAATTCATTTTGCATTTGCTCCGATGCAATTCATTTTCTCTGATGCAATTCATTTTCTTGGAAACATGTTAATCAAATGGAAATGCTATTCTTCTTCATAGGGGGGGGGGGGGGGGGGGGGGGGGGGGGGGGTGGTCAAGATGACCACTGCCAAGGCCCTGCCCCTATAATGTTTAATCTTAACGGGTGATACTCGTAGAATATTTGTTCCATATATTAGGACCGTCGACGAGTCCAACTCACAACTCGGCGCGCGTCCTGGTATACCTTACTCGGGATTATTATAACCGGGATAAAGTGGTGGGTTTTGGAAGATTCCGCCATATTTTTCCCGGTAAAAAATTTTACCAGTCATAAAAAAACCCGCCGACTCAGATTATGGGGTTCCAAGGGGGTGGTGATCATCATTTTTTACCTGAAGTCTCATATGTGCTAGAGAAGACTTTTGAAGCAGTGGATGGAGGGCTGTAACTTTATTGGCGGTTGCTACCATAATTTCGTTATAAAAATCACAATTTGGTTATAGAAATCAGATTTCAGGGTGGACCGTGATTCTCACTTTTCTTGCCCATGAAGTGAGTAAACTGTGCCACTATTTCAAGGTCCACGGTGGATTGATTACTGGAGCAGTTGAAGATGCAAAGCCAAGACGTTCCCCAATACCAAGCGGTGGGCAGGAAATTAAGCTCCGGCTGACCTTCAGAGCAGTAGCCCCATTAGCGGACAAAATGAAAGTCTTGTTAAGACAACAATACAACTTCGAATTTGACGGTCAGCAGCAGGGGGATATCAATAATGATAATGGAGGGCACATTAGCGATAATGAGAATGAGAATACGCTTTAATGAAGATTTGACTTATTATTGCTATAGATTTATTTTCCTTTAAATACTAGACGTGTCTTTTTTTCTATTTCTGAGTAATATCAGTAACTGTAAATTGAAATAACTTCTTTAACAAGTAACAAAAACAGAAATTTCGGTTGAAAATTTGTTGACCTCTGAAAAAAAACTTGAAAGGTCGGCCACCGGTAAATACATGACCGGGATAATTTGGCGGGTTTTGGGAAATTCCGCCATATTTTTCCCGGTTATTAATTTTCCCAGTCATAAATTAACCCGCTATAATATTCCCGAGTAAGGTAGGTTGTAAACCTACAATGTTTAACCCGATAAAATATTTGAATATGGCTTAATGTAAAAGTTAAACTTTTAGTTTTTTCCACATTTGGTGAAAAGTTTTGTCGCGTTTATGAAACTGATAATCCTTGAGAGTATATGTTCACTATTTCTGTCGACTCTCACATTACATTCCTCATTCCTGTAATGTGTAATGTTGCATATTATGTTGGAAATGTCAAGAATGTTCGTCACCGTTCAAAATGTTTCAGTTTGTATTTCAGTTAATAAGTAACAATTTGATAGTCCGATTAAAGATAGCTGCCAGATTTCAGAAGTAGGCTCCCCACCTGGCACTAATCACGTGACACGTAAGCGTTAGGATCACCACCAGATTATGAAAACCGCATCAACTCTTTAAAAATTCATCAAATTCTAGTGATTCCGAGAAATATCAAACGTCGCCGGCTCTTTAATGAATAATTAACTAGAAAGTAGTAAGTGTGCATCGCATATCTCACCAAAATGTTTAGCTAGTAATGTCATTGTTCTAATTGCCTCCCCGCTTTCTTACAAGCATGTTTCAAAATTACTTTCCGTGCGGTATCACGAGGTTAACTGTAAGGCTGTCTATTGGCTGAAAGGGGATGACATTCCACTTATAAAGTAATGACAAATCCTTTGATGTGATATACGATCCCATGAGTGATGTAAGTGTAACTAATGGAGAAACCCACTTTAAAGTTTGATCCTGCTAAAAACCCGCAATTTTCCAACGAAAATTGTTGTTCTACAATTTGTTCTAGGTCCGAAGTCTGGTGTTTTACTGTACATATTATTCCTCTCTCTAACTACTTCTCTTCTCAGCTGGCTTAATTTCAAGTGGCTAAAACTAAGCCTATTAATCTCATGATTAGTCGCTAGAAAAGTGTCTTGTATGCCAAACTAGCCTTTGATATTATAAAGGCTCAATAGCATGCAAGCAAACCATGTAACTAACTCAGAATAACTTGAGTTAATTGAGTTACATCATTTAATTACGTAGTACTTAACACAGTTATTCAGGTGGTGTT